TCAAAAGGGCATCGTAGGATTTCGGTTATTGCTGATGACCACCGTTGTGTGTGTTTGGAGGTTAAATTGGGATATTTTGCGGTTAGGTTGCTAACAACGCATTACACATGCATGATGGTGGTTTTAACCCTCGGCACACATGCATGATGGTGTTTTTAACCCTCGGCGCACTAGCATGATGGGGTTTTTAACCCTCGGCGCGCATCCATGATGGCGTTTTTAACCCTCGGTGCACATGCACGATGGTGTTTTTAACCCTCGGCGCACTAGTATGTCTCAACAGGCAAACAAGTCAACTACACCCAGGACAGCTCTTTTTTCAAAGTGTTTCTTATTCTGTTCCCACATAGTATGAGATGTGTGTCGGTCTTATACTGGAAACTCTTCCAATTGAAACAGACTTCGGCCGCTAACATACAAAAGGTTTGTTTGAATTATGTACGTATGTACCTCCAGACACTGTGGTTTGTTTTTGGTTGCTTAACATAAAGGGTTTTGTTTTGTATATCAATTACCTGCCAGAATGCCCTAATAGCATACCAAAAAACAATCACCTGAACTTATAATTATTGCAACCTTATCAGGGGCGGCGGATTCAGAAAATTGGAATGGAGGTTCAGGGGTGGCAAATTGCGAAATTACATGCACAAGGAGGGGTGAGACGCACAATGATTACATATACCCTCATCTGCCGCATCACACACAAACACGAGGTCACTAATGGCGACCGGGGGGGGAGCTTGAACCCACGATGCTAGTATAGGCAGAGTGCTCTACCCACTGAGGTCTACCGGGGAAACTCAGCAGGCAAAGTACCATCTTTCAGGACGATAGATCACTAAATACGGTGTACACTATAGTTGTTATGAAAACCATTGTGTGTCCACTACGTAACTCAAACAAACTATACCGATACAAAGCCGTTCTTATGCATGTGGAAGTATATACATACAGTGCATGTGGAAACGGTTGTGTCTATTTGTCAGTATCATGCGTGCACACACATGCACAATAAAGTGGTTTGTTGGTGAGCACTTGAGCACCTGTTCTGGCCCTACTCCAACACACTAACGATTTCTGAGAACTACTTCCTTCACTTACCACACATTTTTCGTTTTTCAAACACCACCATTCACACACACGCACGCACACACGCATGCACAATTTATACCGCCTTATCGCTACTTCAAGCTGTGTACAGTAATGGCCATCCTCTTGTGCATCCCGTCGTGCAATTATTAATCCCGTTAGCTGCATACTTTACAGTGCTCCGCTGGTAACTATGATTACGTAACGTGACGTAATCAGTAAGATATGCATCCTTTTATGTGCCATTACCAATTCATTCTGCATTCCTAATGGATAGTTAGTGTCGTTAGTGATATCCACACAATGTGTAGTTTGTAGCTTACTTCAAAGCCATATTATTATTATAAAAGCATACTGTGTCCCTGCATGTGCTGCGGTATACTGTATATACCTTTATACCAACGGAAGGGAGAGAGGGAGAGGAAAGAAGTGCAAAATGATTGATATGAAAGGCCCACTTGTGCTGCAATTTATGTGTGTGTTTCTTCTCGTTTCCGTAGGATCTTCAAGATTTTTTCATCCCTACTAAGGTGTGTTACATTATCCACTTACTGCTGTTACTTTTAACCTGCCTCTTTCCCTCCCTCTCTCCCTCCCTCCCTCTCTCTCCCTAACAGAGCACCCAAAAGTCTCCTTACCCCGGCAGGTATGCACAAATAACCACAAAAATTTTGATGAACTGTGAAGAAATCCCCAAAGTAGCAGGTGGAAATCCTAAAAAGCAGCCTAGAGTTTTCAGGGAGCTGATTCAGTTAGCGCATTGCTACAAAGAGGCTTCATAATTATATAACTATAGACTTGGGGCCTCGTGGAGGTATGGCATTATAGCATGTGGTCGAATCCTTAGTCTCCTTGGTGGCATTACTATGCGTTCCTACATCCCATGTTGGTCATTACTTGGCAGAGGTGTTGTATGGGGTATATAGTTGGTCTACTCAAATTATGGGGTAGCCTATTTTCCAGTTAGCTGGTTGAATGCCAATTGGTATTATAAATGCCAGGTTTAAGTTATAACTGTACTTTTTGCAGCGATAATACATTAAGGGAGCTGGGTATATTAATCCCTCTGCCTGCTTCCCCCTTCTTTAGTGGTTAGATATAGTCTCTCTCAGAGAGATTTCCTAATGAGACCGTGGAGGTTCCCTGTTAATTAATTAGGTTTCCGTAGCGGGTCATTATGATAGGAGGAACTGTGGTGATGTCATAATTACTCACTTCCTCTACTCCATACCTCTATGTGGAAGTAAATACGTGTTGTCATGGGGCCCTTTCGATTGGTACAAGAATGCACACTTGTCTATTCCTTCCTTCCCTCTTCTTTCTCCTTACATACAACTCCCTTAATTTGCATGGGTTGAGATCGTAAGATTTCTGACTGGTAAATTTTTTGGTTAAGTTGACCGTTCCGTCATTTTATGGAATTGGGAAAGTCAAAACCACACAGAAATGTAAAATGGTGGAACTCAACAGCTTAGCCGGAATCTTGTGTGTTGTTCAGAGTGTTTTGTTCTGGTATATGAGGTGTGTCTTCCCAAACTCTCTCCCTGTCTCTCTCTGCAGTCTCTCACCAATTCCGTCTCCGGCAAGCGTAGGCAGCACGACCAGCACGGAAGTGGGGTGGGCGGAGCCTCCTCACTGAGCTCCACCCAAGACCCCTCCCCCTCGTCCCACGTGACAGTCTCGAAACAGGTGTTCAATAAGGCGGCGGAACACCTCACAATCACGGGATACCTTCACCAGAGCCTGGAGCTGTGGCAGCAGAGTAACCTACTGGTGGAGCAGTACAGAGGTGTGCCACGCCCTCCACATTAATGGTTACAGTATAAGCGAGCACGTAGAGTTCAATTTTTAACGCATACTATAAAATGACGTTCAATTTTTCGCACGTATTTGGAATCACGTAGAACATTACAGTATCTGCAGCGACAGTGCTGGTCACAACGTAAATATATAAAATTATACCTTTGTGTTGACCTTTGTCCCTCCCAGATTTCTTCAACACACTGGACAGACGGAGTGGCTGTCGCATCACCCAGTTCAGGTGGGCCCCCGTATAGCTAATCAAATTAGGGATTACATCGCTTGTGCCGGATTAACGTGTCCGTCTCCCATTTCACCAGGGGATTAGCATGTGAGAGAATTAGCATGTGCCAATGGTGCAAGCAGAGCAGCTGTTACTGGCTTGTTGCGGATAATTCCCACTTAGAGCTTCATTAGAAGTGTCTGCCGACCTTTGTATTAGCAATATTATTAAACTGTACTGGTATGGGGGCGGAAATAGGGGAGAGACATAAGGTTACGAGCAAGATGTGGTCAAATTATGAGCGAGATGGAGTGAAAAGGAGAATGGCTATTATGAGGCATGGGATGAAAAGGAGAATGATTATGAGGCGAAAAAGCGAAGGTTACGAGCAAGATGGTGGGGTTACCCACCCTACTTTAGGTTTTCCGACTCAAAAATGACGAAAACTCATGTTGACCACTTGAATATACAGCTGTTTGTTTGATGTCATATATTCTTCGTTCTCTGGGGGCATACGTTGGTTGATTAGCCAATTTTCAAAGTTTTGGAATGCGGCCAGGAGCCACTATGTGCCACACCCTCATTTGTCATGCATTACCTCATTTGTACTGTGCATGCTCATGCTCTGAGAGAGAATGATTGTTGGACAACCTTACATGTTATTCCCTCTCTCCTCCCTCCCTCCCTCCTACCTTCCTCCTTTCTGCACTCTCTCTCTCTCTCTATCTCTCTATCTCTATCTCTCTCTCTCTCTCTATCTATCTCTCTCTATCTCTCTCCCTCAACTCCCCTGCTCACGTAGTCCAATATCAGTAGTTGCCGACTGGATAGAGACAGGTGCAAGGTTAATTCACTACCGCTCTTAACAAGTCTTTACAGAAAAACTCAGTTCTTCACAAGAGCTTTATAATATAATATATAGTTAACTCAAGAATTTGCCACAGGAGAATGGGTATATACACTAAGATGAACTTTATTTGTATATACATTTTGTTCAGTTTCACTGTCATCTGTGTTATAAGGCATTATTTTATTGAATTGTGTACAACATCGTATAGTGTTTCAAGTGCACTCATTTTAGGGACGTTAATTTTGTTGTTTGTTTGTTTGTTTGTAAACAACTCCGCAGCTATTGTTGTTTTATCGATGTTTTCTGAAAGTATCTGTTTATCAAATCTGTATGATGTGGTTTGTACAATATTATTTTGAAGCAACGTTTAATAATAATAATACTCAGGTGGCTGCCATAGCACTAGGGCCATAGACCATGCACCCAGAGCAATGGGCGGAACCGTTAACAGAAGCAACGTTTAATAATGAAATGGAGCGGAGGTAGCGTATAGATGGAGAAATGCATGAGTGCTTTGTTGATTCCTATATACAGTAATCTTTGCATGTGTAAATGTTATAATACCTGGTGTTACATGCATGTGTGCACAGGTAATTATGAACTTATGTCCAAAAAGGGAGCTGTTCTTGCCCGACCAAAAAACGCTGGGCATAATTTTATACAACAAACTTCGTCACCGGGACGACATGCACGCTTACGTAACCCAATTATAAGGGCAAAATACTGGTGGGCTAACTACTCGACATTGGAGCTGCCGCTGAGTAAAGCCGATAGTTGTGTGTGCGTGTGAGCGCCGTGTGTGTCGAGGCTTCTAGTTGCACCGCGTCATGCCGGTGAGCCGACAAAAAGCCGAAGACCTGACGGAGATCGGAGCCTCAGCGCCGCTGAATGGACACGCTCTGGATCGCACGTTCCGCCGCTACAAGAGGCACCACCGGCTGTGCGAGATCAACCGCAAGAATGGCGCATCCTACGAGATCAACCGAGAGAGACAGCGCACTGAGATGCTGAACAGAAAGTACTTTGACAACCTGCGACAGCAGCAAGCGCTCTCGGGAAGAATCGACGAGCCCCGGGTCACGAAGGAGCAACAGAACGGGTCCGGTCACGTCGGAACGGATGCAGCTACGACAACGGCAGGCTTCGTAAGTTATGGCCGGATTGTCTAGCTCGCTGTATGTGTAGTACGTGACACCCGCCATGTGTGTAGCTACTGCATGTGTGCCACACAGACATGCACGGCAGACCATGCCGCAGCTTCTTTCGTTTGTGCTGTCTCCGTTCGCTAATGTATTACAAGGCAGTGACGCAGCGTAGGGTTTTCAGCTCTCCACGCATCCAATATCTCCCAATTTGTAGCCCATTACTAGCTCTGACTGCCATAAACTTCTATTACCTAGGCTCAAAAGATACAACACAATTGTCTAATTATCTTTGGACTCTGGGTGTATGTAAGTGTGTATTTGTGTGTGGCGTGTAGATGGTATACTGATTAAGGATGGAGTGATGATCGGTTAGAGGTGGAGGAACTTAGGTTCAACAGCTGAGCCAAACCCAGTAGACATGCATGCATAACACTCTGGCTCGCAAGGCTAGAACCGAAGACACTCCATGGCCGTCAGCACACTCCACCTGCCAAAGTGGTGGAAAGCGTCGAGCCTTATTGGTAGCAAGGCTTGACCTCTTGCCTGTCTGTGTATCAGTGTATGTGTGTGTCTATGCTATGTCACTGTGATGCGGCACACACAATACATGAATGACATCATTGTCAAAGGATCGGGTTCTTGACCTTTGCACCAACATCTAACTGGTGACCACAAACCGATGAACTGCAAAATAATGTTGAACTAAATATCTGGCTACAAAATTAGAGTATGTACACACACCATGGATGATGTGTAAATACTCATGGTTCATCGCTTACCAGAAATTTCTTACTATGCTTGTTTTATCTGGTACATACGTACACTCAATAATTTCCTGTTATCATAGACTTTCAGTCTTATGCTCTAGACTGGAGTCCCCAATGTCTTCAAGGCTTACACAATATCAGCCCCCACTCTTTGCATTATAATGATATATGCATTATGGTGTGTAGGCAGGAATCCCAACTAACCAAAAGTGAAAGCTGCTGTGCTCTTGGTTCTTGACATGGTCTGTCAAGGCTCTCCCCTGTCCTTCTCCCTTCTCTCTCTTTCCATCCCTCTATTCGTAGTGCTGACACGATCTGTCTAGCTTGACGGCATCTTCTCCCTCCCTTCTGCTATCAGTGTGTTTAGCATGTGTTGACACCGATTCGTATAGCATCCTGTCTCTCTGCAAAAGCCATCTCCTTTATTCCTCTCTCTCCCTCCCTCTATTTGCTACTAGTGTGTGTTGACATGACCAGTCTAGATCAAAGGAATCTTTGCGCGTGTGTGTGTGACTGCTAGTCTCTGTGCTGAGGGGGTTAGAATCCAGCTCGTTTTTCAATGTGTTCTCTGTTTTGGCTGCGAGCAAGCCTTTGTACTCGGTTTACTGAGGATGGTGTGTTGGGGGGGTAGTATAGGCAGCAGTCAGTGTTCAGTACACAAGTTCTTGAGACGGCAGAGTATATACCCATTTCTCTTTCTCTCTCCAAGAAGATAATACGTTGCAACATACAACTCTCTCTTTCCGTTTATCGTTTGTTGGCCACATTGTTTACGTAAATATTGAAGTACACTGCTTACTGTGGCGTGCCTTTTACATGTCAATATTTACTATTCAAAGTAGGAAAGATTGATATCCGATAAGTATTACTTTAATGATAGTTCCTGACCCACTAGTAACTGAATTTGAATGTACTACTGTGGTTTATTGGGTTTTGTATACTTTCTGTCCTTCGCAGTAAACTAATTGTTTATTATTTTGTAGAGTAAACAGCTCTTATTTCAGTTTATGTTAGACTAGTGTACATAGTATGGGACAGTCTTCTCGACTATTCTCAAGAAATGGGAAGGAATTCAACGTGACTCGGAAACTCTTCTGTGTTTCCAACCTTTCCCCGTCTTGTGCTTTTGTCAATTCTATACTTGTCTTCTTTCAGTGCACCAAGCAGCAGTGCATACAATATACGTACATTAGAGAGCCCCACGTGTCACACTTTGCTTGTTAGTGCTAACTCTTTTCATATTAACCCCAAATGATCACGCCTGTAGAAATTGGCCCACAGAGGGTTGTATCACCTGCTTCAGTCTGTATTAGGGTATGTCGGTGCAAGACTGCACATTCCAACAGATGCTGTTGATAGTTGCTTGCCTTGCTCTTTGTACCTGGCCGACATCTTCTATACTTATTACTTGACCAGCGCTATTGGATTACTTGACTTCCTGGCATTCCTGATGCTTAGTCAGGCACAGAATGTGCGGCGAACAGTGTGAACAACTTGTACTTGTGTTGTGTCCACCTTGCTCGCTCCTGTAGTACACGCATAAGACACCGATATGAAAAAACACTAACCTTTGTGAGAGCAACTTTAACGGCCGCCACGTATCAAACTAATTGGCCCATTGTTAACGGAAGCAGAGACACTGCTTGCAATGTGTTTTTGTGTGTATACTTTCTCTGCTTGCACGGTGTTTTGTTTGTCTTTACTTTCTTGCAGTGTATTATGTGCAGTTAGAGTAATTGAAGACATTTCTGTGTGTGCACACGCAGCTTTGCAATGCTGAGCAGTGCCCTCACCCCCCCTCCACCCAATCCACTCCAGACCTATAGCTAGCTGATGCTTTTACTCTAATTGTGTGCTACATGTGTGTACAGCTGTGCAATCGCCTCACTCTAAAGCTTTGACAGTGTGTCTGTATTCATTGGGCCATCTCTCTCTCCCACTGACTGGGGAGGCAACTCTCAAAGGATATTCAAAGGGATTCAGGAAAACACACCAGTGCTCGAGTACTTGTGAGATGTGACGGAGAGCTAAAGTGTTGTTACAGCTCATTGCGTTTTACTTACTTATAGAAGAGGCACAGTTACATCCATTGTTTTGCACTAGAGGGAGCCCATATTATTGCACACTACAGCTAATTCCATTACCATTGTGCTCCACTTCACTTAGAGGGAACAAAACTGGCTTCAACTCCACTACTATAACATAACAGTATGCGCACCTGTGGATGAGCTGCTAAGTGATAAACTGCTATAATATAGAAGTGGAGGATACCCACAAATCACCCACATGCATTCCACCCGCCACCACTCTGTAATAACCCTGGGCAATGTGCCAGTATGAAGCAGCTCTGCTTCATTGAAGCTCTCAAGTTTAACTTTTACTAAAACCTTATGTAGCTGTGCACTCCATAGTGCGGGGAGCCAGTCTGTCTCCCTCAATTACATCACTTCATGTTATTAATGTACAAAAAGTACAACCTTGTATACATGCATTGTAGTCCATGTACAAGGTCACGCCTGCTGCATGTGTACTGTGTGTGTGTGTGTGCGCGCCATGCACAAAGAATCTGGGTCGATGTATACTACCCACATGTGAATGTGTGGTGTGGGTGGAAGTGTGGTGAGAAGGGCTTCCTGGTCATTCATTGGCCATCCTGTGTCCACATGTTGTCTGTCCCTCCCACCCTTTGTCTCTCTTTTCCCCCACAGCTCTCTTCTGCCTATAAAAAATCTGAAAAACCATGTCCATCCTTCTTATTGGGCCCTTACCGTGCGTATATGTAGCTGACCTTCCAAACGAAAAGCTCACTACACTCCCAGTTTTAGTATGAAAGGGAGAGGTATGAGGTACTTCAGTCTTTCCTTTTGGTTTTACAAACAGACTGGCCTCTCCCTGGCCTTATATTTTCGGGCAAAAGGGAATAAACGCTGTTTGTGTGTGTTAGCATATCATGTTCTTGTGTTTCAGCGTCTTATGCCTACTACTAAATAGAAATTCGCACGGTGTAGTTGATGTGATTTTCAGTTTGCATTTCTTGTGGTGAGTGTGTAACTCTACACGAGCAGCATTCACTATGTACACATCCCATACAGAGCAAACACAAATGACAATGACACTCTGTTGCACAGCTTCGTGTGTATATACTTTTGCCCCAATCACCTGAGCTGTTGCTTTAGCCGGTTCAACTTTGCCCCCCAATTTTCCTACTAATTATACACAGGCTCTGTTCCCAGCTTACTTGCTATGCTGTGGTAAGAACTATCAGAGTGTACAAATCCTCTTCAAAGGCTTCTGAAACTTGCTATCTGTGATCACAAAATGAGCTGTTTCGTTGGTATCCAGCTAAAGCCCTCGTCACAGTAGTGAACGTGCTATATATAGCATACTAATATTGACACAGTTGTATAGTACAATGCCAGCTGTGCCAACTATAGTACATTGAAAGAGCGACTAGCGTTTCATTTTCAAAGTGTGTCAGACTGCCCAGGTGCAACAGGCTTGCAACAGGTTTGAGACAGGTTTGTAATGATATTCATAATACTCAGAAGGCCACCGATAGTGCCGAGCTGTGGGTATTATTTTGACTACCAAGATGTTTACACAAAGACCCTTGGCTCTAAACAAGTGCATTATATGCCAACTAATGTTGGGAAAGATGTTATAAACTTGCTCCGTGTGTGTTTGTACTGGTGACACGTGCCTGCCTGCCAGCCACAGAGTCCTAGTTGTGTAGCTAATGACTCATTTAGAGCCAGGTTAATGGACACACAGAGCCTTGTTTGGCAGATTGGGGTGATGGCTCCTGACGTGCGGGTGTGTACATCACTCTCTCTGGCTGACCGATCGTTCTGTTATGCTAATACATCTCAAATTACCGGCTGAGCTATCTTTAATTCTGGATCAATTTCTATGTTTCCCGCAGCTCATTAATGTGGGTAAAGGATACTAAAACAGCCACAAATACAGCTTGTGTATATATATCTATTTTTAGCAGCCCACTGCCTCCACCCGTTGGACAGATTGTTACTAAAAATGGAAGGTTTGTTGTGTGTTCTCTAGGGCCAGTGTCCAAGAGTGGAATGTACAGTTGTCGGGTGCTAAGGCAGGATGAGACGTAGTGCACATCAAAGGCACACATGGGTGTGTCATCGGTCGCTGGTTCACTGATTTTAGCTACCAGCAATGACTTCCACCACTTCTGTTTGAGAGCTTTGGACACCTAGCACAAAGGGTAGTATAACGGTCATGACCAACAGTGACTCAAGGCAAGGCAGAGAGCACAACCACACTCGGGACAACTCTTCTTGAAGAGGAGTGTGATTGGAACCCACGACACGCTGCAATCCAGGCAGAGTGTTCTACCCACTGAGCTAGTACCAGTGTATGATAGCTACATATGTGTGTAGTGTGTTATGTAAATGCAACTGCCCTAGATGACTTTAAAACTGCACAGTGTACATATGGAAGGTTATACACTATACAGTACAATTATACATAGTACACTTCTGTCAGTCTATCAGCCACACATCTGTACGCCAGTGTCAAAACACCATTATAAGCTACCCAGAGTTGTAGTAATTATAGTAGTAAGGTCTGGGGTCAATGCCTGTAGTGACCCTCAAAGGAGGGTCACTTATCTTATCGGAAATTCAGTGCGCAAGAAAGCCCTTACGTACCTCCCACCACCCACCTAATGTACTATACACAACATATACACATGTACTCAGTGATACTGAAAGACATACCGTAATTTGTATCGTCAGTTAAATCCCTATTACCCTATATATAGAGGGTGAGGAAACATAAATGAAAATCAGTGGGAAGTGTGCATGGTTTGGCATCATCTGGCGTGGCAATGGCTTTGCTCTTCCCTTGTCCGTAGCCAAAACCACCCCAACATCAATTGGGATGCACAGTGTAGTAGCCGGCGGCTGGTTTGTAATTACTCTCAATGGTCAGTGTGTACAAATGTTTGTATTGACGTGGTGCATGTAGGGGGGATTGTGTGTGCGAGCTACGTGGACGACTCTGCAGCTATCTGGTTTCATATGCCCTTTTAACCCACCCAATACCTTCCATACACCACACTGATGTCATGTGTACATCGACGATATGTAATATGTACTGGTGTGATTTAAGGATTCACTGATTCAGTGAGGTGTGTAGTACTGAGTCAGCTATTACTGTCTAAGTAAAGAGGAGAGAGAAAAGCTGCATGTTTTTGTGGTCCGGTCACCTAAAGCTGCTGCGTATAAAGTATAGCCTAACTCCTCAGTCTTTTTGCCAAAAGCAAATGCCAGCTGGCAAGGCCAACCTTTGCCATACGTCACAGTCTCGATTTTAGAGAAAGCAACTGTTAGGTTCCAGCCACCTTTCATTTCCTCCCATCAAGTTTCATTTAGCTTCCTTGTCTTTCTCTTCCCTATCCTTCCTTTAGCTACACCTTGTCCCACTCTTTCCTTTTCCCTGCCTTCCCTGTTTCCTCTTGATGAAAATGGTAGTATGTGTGGTTTGGCATCACCACATCTGCATGCAGGTTTCTCTTTGTCACTAACGTACTCGTCCTTGATCCTTCCTCTCAGTAGTGAAACACACGTGGACTTTAATAACTCTCAATTCTCGAGCCTTTCCTTCTCTTTCTCTACTTCCTCTGTTTCTCTTGCTCTCCCCTATTTTTTCCTTATCTCTTCCCTCCTGTTCCCCCCCCTCTCTCTCTATCCTCACTCACCTGCCCCCTACAACCCGTACATCTGTGAGCCTTATTAACCGTCTGGATCGATAGCCTTCATGTGTGCACGTTCTGTCTGTGAATCCATTACACACAATTGCAAATTGGCAGCTACTTAATGCTTTGTTTGTCCACAAACACACGCCGTACGCACACACTCTAGGATTCTTCAAAGATAAAGCTCTCTCCGTCGAAATCCATGCCCGAAAACCCGGCGGCAAAGAAAACCGAAGACCCCTTCGGTAGCAAGCCTGCATCGGCCACTGGTCATTCCAGTGGGGGGGCCAATAACTCGCTAAACGGGTTTGACGAGGTTCTCATCAAGGCAGAGCCGGAGAGCGGTGGGAGCACTCCAGCCTGCGTCCAGTCGCCTCCTCTCTCTGGTAACAGCACCGCCGGGTCGAAAGCCCCTCCCAACTCCCTCCCCTTTCCCTCCTCGTCCTCGGCAATGTCGTGCTCCAATGGGAGGTTTGGCCGAAGTTTCTCCACCCCGGACGCCAAGAGGAGGTGTCCAGGAACTAACAATCGATCGTCCCCCCTTCTGGAGGATGAGAACGATCTAAAACTGAAACCCTACGATTTTCTCAACAATGTCATTAAGACGCCGCCGATTAAACCCCTTGAAGAAGGGGACGACCCTCCAATTACTCCATCGCCGACGAGTATGGGGCCGTTGCTCCGGCGATCCTCGTCAAACCCGCCCACCAACAACAGTTGCACAAGCAACCACAGCAACCACAGCAACCACAGCAACCCTCCGTCAACTCCGACGGGAAACGGCATTTGCAGCGCAAACAACATATCGACCTCCTCGTCCTCGTCGCAAATGGAAGAAGACCTATACGAGTTCTACCGGGTCATGGAACAGGTTTGCGAGCAGAAGGGTCGGCTTTCTTCCGCACCTGGTACCAGTGGAAACATTACAACTGCTACCATTTCAACCTCGGGGGCAACTTCCACTCAGATCGACATGTACAGTGGCATGTCCCCACCTCCTGGAGTTGTTAACCCTGGATCTGGTAGTGCCATAGTGCCGCCGTCTCAGAGGATTATTTCTCCGCCACCTTACAATGCTACGTCGACCGGAGCGCTCCCGCAGACTCTCCCACTCGGTCCAGGACACTACAGAGGAAATGGACAACAGTTGCAGCGCGCGGTGCTCACTAGTCCCCCAGGACACACTGCAGTTTCTCCTCCATTTACTGCTGCCGACGCACGTAGCCTGTACAATAGGTCCCTAGTCGGGCAGCAGCCTCACACTCCTCTCTCCCTCAACTTACAGCAGCAACGTCAGCAAGGACAGGCTTACTCCACTGCCGTCACACACACCTCTCTCCCTTCATCACAAGTCAACTTGCCCCTGCAGTTTTCCTCCGATCATTCCTCGCTTCACACCCAACAATCGCCTCACCATCAACCAGGGGGGCAGCAGGCTCAGGTCATTGTTGGAGGTAAGCCTCTGGAGTCCCAGCAGAGAACGGGTCCTCCTCTCACTCCGCACCAGTCAATGCAACTCTCGCACCTCAACCAGGGTCTAGTTTCCTGTCCCACTGTAGCCACACCCACTCCACTCACCTCCCACATGTACTACAACGGTAGTAGTAGTAGCCAGTCCGCACAGCAGAGGACGTACACTTCTGCGCCCCTCTCTCTTACCCCTCACCCACCCGCACCTCCTCAACAGCAGACACAACAAACCCCTCTCACGCCCACGACTCCACTCGAGCACTTCTCCTTCCAGACCTCCCAGAACTCCCGCATCTCCCCTACTCACTGTCCCACAAACCCACTCTGTCACCCGGGCAGTCTCGGCACTTACACCACGTTTTCTGACGCGTCGCACTACCTCTCGAATCACGTCCAAACTCCCTGCCTCCCTGCCAGGGGCCATCAACAGACTATTCAGATGCCCCAACAGCACCAAAACTCTGGTGGTCTCACCGTTTCGACCAATTCCTGGGCCCAACGTCGGTTGCCTGCCCAGCAGCTCCCAAACATGATGACACAACACACTGCGATGATGAGTCGAAACCAGATGGGATCTCTCCCGCGCATGCAAGTCCCCAGCCAGGCGTCTTCTCTCTCGATGTCGTCTTACCAGTTGAACCAGAGGATGAGTCACCTCTCTTCGTTGCAACACCACACCGTACCAGCACCCCCGCCAGCGTACTTGCAGTCCTGCGGGTCAAGTGCTCACCCCAACAACCCAGCTGCCTTCTCTGGCCTACCTTTCCCATGACATGTGCAATATCTAATAACTCATCCACTGCTAACTCTTTTTTCTTTTTTTTTTAGACGTCTATAAAGCGTGTACAGTTTTACCTGCTTATATTCATCGTTATCATACCGGTACAGGTGTCACCACTTTCCGTCACGCATTTTGTACAGAATTGTAGAAGTGTGTCAGATATTGTTCATTTTGTACACTATGTTGCATTCACCACCATTCAAGTGCCATGTATATACATTTTTTATTCGTCTGACGTCATACCCCGAGTGCGCATGCGCCAAGATACTTTGACCCTTTTCTGCGTGCGAAACTTTGAAATGGTGGTTTTCACTGCACTCGACGTTAGGGCTTTCTCGGGTTTCTATCCGTCGTGTTCCCAGTGCTTGAGACGTGTATTTATCGCAAGTACGTCCAGGCCTACTCGTTCCAGGTCAGATTCTAAATACCTACAGTACCATGTGTCCCCGTAGTAGACAGGAGTTTTGGTTTATCAATTCAGGCGTCTTCGCTACGAGTGCCGGCCGTGTGGGATCGTGTGGGAGGAGGGAGAGGTGGAGTACAGGTACTGCGTGACCCTCACTGCCCGGCAGGCAGATGACGGTAGCTGTAAAGACGTCGTCGTATTCGGAAAGAGCCTCAATGTCGTTTTTGGTGCACCTGCAACTCACTTGCACAGGTGAGAGGTGTACCAAGAGAAATAGAATACAATAAACTGACCTTTTTCTCTTAGATTTATTCAAAGGTACATAATACCAGGAGCCACTCCTCTGATTGACCCACGATCCATTTTCAATATTATGGCCGAGCCACTCCGCATTGTCCTATCGGGAAAATGTTTCACTGCACTACTCGCCAAATCGCGAACTCGTTCAAAAAACTGGTCGCGTGATGTTGGGACTCGCCAGTATAGCCCCAGATACATAGGCACAATGTTCAGCCTTCTGGGACGTATGCCCTTCCCTGTCAGTGTATTGTCTCACCTGCAACACCAGCTGCTCACAAAGAGCCCGGCACCGTCCTTGTCTTGTCATCCTGCTGGAGCAGAGGAAGATGAATCCTCACAGGGGATTAATACTCGGTTCAGCCTCGCAGACAGAAGCTCAATTCTGAGTCCAGTCACTAGTACAGCTATAGAGCAATCTCCGCTTGTTTCAGTGCGCTCGTTTTCGTCTCTTGGAAGTTTTAAACTTTCACAGGTGGCACTCGAAAGCTCTGCTTGTGACGGCAAACTTTATCCTAACTCTCAGCTAGATCTCTCAGTTTTACTGTCAGATTCTAATGAGCTCAGTGATGATTTCTCGGAAACAGCTCCTGCAGGTTTCACTGGTGGTGTGGGTGAAATTGGAAAGACAGAGGAGAAATGGGGAAAATCTGTTAGCGGTCAAAATACTCCACTTAAGCTTTTATCAAGTTATGGTGGTTTATCAAAAAGATTGGCTACTGGTTTTACTGATTCTTTTGAGGAAATTGGAAAATCGGAGGACTGTTGCTTGCCACATGAAGCTCAAAGTAGCAGTAGTTGCTGGAAAGTTGGTCTTGGTGCATCTTTTTCTGGAAAGGGTACTGCGTGCTGCATGGAGGACGAAGATGTCCTGTTGTGCGATGACGTTCTGAGTGAGCTGATGTCTACTTGGAGAGACGAGGGACACAGCATTCAACAGAAGAAGAACTCTCCACAGATATACGAAGACAGCGAAACCCTACCTGACAGCGAGTCATTCCTGGAGGAATTCCAGTGCGATTTTGATCAATCGCCTAATTTTTTGACCACAAATGTAGCACTCCCCACCTTTGAATCATCTTCTGTACCAGACACTGCTGATACCTCTCCAACATACGGAAGAACTCACTCGGCCCGGTATTCTTCACTGTTTAACTCTTCTGAGAAAGCCACTAGTGATGTCGCATCGCTTCTCCAACGTACCCCACTAGTCCAATACACACCTGAACTATTCACCAGCTCTGCATCAAGACCCTCACATCGTGCTAGCACAAACACCAGTAATACTGCTACATCTCCTGCTGGAGGTGTCATGTCTCCTGAGCTATTCAGTAGTCCCAGACCTATCGTCCCACTGGCAGTAGGGAAGCTGTCGTCGGAGGCTAGCAGAAGATGCACCCCAGCTGCTGGAGGAAACCTCAAACAGCCTCCAAAGAGAAGATTGCTCCACCCTCTCCACACTTCTGTACAGCAGGCATGCACCTATACCCCACTGAGCAGTGTGAATGACTCACCCTCTCAATGCTTCTCGCCAGAATTATTTCCCTGAATTTTTTATTCACTCCGTGCAATTTTTTAACACTCAACAGGAATAATTTTTGCTAACATAATTTACAACAAAAAAGCAACAAGAACGAAACACTGTAACATGAGCTCAAACTACACTCAACAAAGATGTGCCAAATGATGTAAACCTGTAAGTTTATATGACTGTGCACTATATATAATAATTACAGGCGATCAGAATCTTGACAGCTTGATTGGAAAGTTCTCTGTAACTAGGCTATCATCGTGAAAGATTATGACAACGTTGACTTCAAACTCGACTTTGAAATTGCTCGTTGCCAGCGTTGGGCTGGTGAACAGTCGAGGGAACACCATATAGAGAGGAATCACAATACCCTTGCATACGTCTCCGTCGGCGATCTGAATGTTTTGGATTTCCGTCGGGTCTCTTGCGTAACCCTCCGCACAACCGCACGTTTCCACCCGAACCAGTTGAAGCTCTATTGATCTGATTGAGGAGGAAGAGCGCTCTACAGTCAGTTCGCCGCAGAAAGGCTTTGTGATGCAGCAGTTGACGGTGTCAATTTTCCCCGAAACTAGAAAATCAGGGACTCGGCCGCGATCCTTGACGTTTTCAAGACTCTGTGGGGAAATGGTGAACTTCACCTCTTTCTCTTCCTGCTTCTCGCCCGGAGCATACTCCACGATAAACTCGGACACCTTTTGCATGTCTTTGTTCAACAACGGGCGCTTCATGTCCACCTTCAGCGTGTACAGTATGTTGACAAAGACGCCGTGGTACGTTTCGTATAGTTTCTTCCCGGCCTTGGGTCTGAGGGGCAGCTCGAACGGGATCTCGGTGCTCCCGCTTGGTAGTTTTCCGGCTTTGGATATCTCCAAGGAGTAGTTGAGGAGGTTGATCGGCTTGAGGGAGTTGTAGAAGGCCTCGAACACGCCCACGCTCTTGGCGCTCAGCTGCAGGGATACGGTCCCGTCCATGGCGAGCGTGATACCCGTGTGGCTGAGCTCGCTCTTGCTCGTCACAACCAGCGCCCCCTTTATCACCTCCCCCTCCCGATACACCTTGTTGGCTCTCTTCAGCCTGATATCCAGCGTCGCCATCCCTCTTGTCTCTTTCTCCCCTCCTCTCACGTCATGTGATAAGGGCGGGGCTTGAAAGGCGCGCATCAATTGGAGTAATCTCACCGGCTGCCCGCAAGCTTTTTCCTCACGCTGTATAGTACAATCTGTGATCCGCCTGTTCCCCATCTCTTGTCTCGAGCTGGAAGGGGGAGTATTCTCCTGTGAAAACCTCTCTCCGTCGTGCCGGAACAATGGAACAGACGCAGGATAAAGGAGCTGGCGGGGGGCTCAATCCTTTCGGCAGTGATGACGAAGAGGATCCGGGGAGAGGAGGTGAGGAACAGAGAGCTACAGGGACAGGAGAGGCTTTACCCTCGCAGCAGGACACTCCTCTAAAAATAGAGTCACACTGCACGGCTCTGGGTGGAATTATGAGCGACCCTGCTCAACTGACAGACCCGTTTCTTCTGGAGGAGTTTCGAGGTCACCTGACGTCGGTCGAGAAGCTGGTGTCTCGAGAGAGACCTCAGTCCAGGGGCGAAGTCGGCGATAATCTTGCCGTCATTCTCTCCCAGAATATCATCGAGAAGGTCTACGTGTTCAGCACGCTGCAGAAGGCCACCGGTCGGGCAATCCGTGTCATGCTCCTGCGTTTCTTCACCGAAGTGTTTGCCCACTCGGTTCAGGATGTCCTGATCCACCAGCAGTTCCTACGGCCGCTGAATCGACTCCTGCGGGCCTGCGAGGGGACGCGGGAGGGGGACATGGCGTCGGCCCTCGTCCCCCTCCTCCACCAGATATGCATACTCATCCAGATGAATCAGTCGCTCCTGGATCTGTTTTTCATCGAGGCCAAGGCGCACCACCCGGCCCGGTTTATCCTTCTCAGTCAACTCATCCCGTACATGCACGACGTGACCGAGATTGGTAATCGGGCCAGGGACGCCCTCCTGCTGTGTCTGTCTCTGGCAGACCAGCTGTCTCACGCCAGTCTGAGTCAGTTTATTGCCATTGAGAGCAACTTTTGTCAGGTGAGAACCTGAATTGTTGTATATATAGTCCTGTCAATTCCAAGCCACACAGGTAACATTGGTGGACAGTGAAGAGGAGTAATTGCTTTGTGAAAACTTTCCCTGCACCCCTACTTTATTTGTAAGAACACTGTGATATATGATATGGTTGACAAGGTAGAACCCTCCCTTACTCAAATTCTTAGTTTAGTGACACAGACAAATAACGGAGGGTACATAAGAAAATGGGCTTCAAGTTATCTCCCCTATCCTTTCTCTCCCCCTTTTCCCCAAGGTGCTGGCCACAGGGCTGAGTGGATTGTACTCTGACCTTCCAACATCAGTCAGCTACAGCGTGGACGAGTGGCAGTCTCCCCTGCCAGTGATAGAGAGCTGTGTTCCTGGTCTCGCTCAGTTCTACCTCGCTCTGGACTTCTGCAACTCCGTACTTCAGGTACTGTCCAAAGTTTTCACCACGAGATTTGCTTCAAACTTGCAACTTATAATGCCCATGCATGAAAAGTGGGCCTGGCCCCTTCAAAATAAGTAACATGTGCGCAATGTTGCAAGGTAGTGTAGAACAGTACCTTGCAGTGCTAGTAGGCACTTAACTTGCGTCATACTTTAGTGTAACTATTATTCTGAGGTATGCTTTTTATATTTAGCAAAATAATATGGTTGCTATTTATGCAGTGTGCCTCCAAAATGTAGCAGTGGCTCTAAGTAGTATGATAATATAATAATTATTATGATGATAGTGTACTCAGCCATAATTATTGTTGAATGGTGCAGATATCATCAAAGGTGATATGTGATGGTATTTTGACCTTGGTAAGGGACGGTTTTCTACAGCAAGTAATCGGACCAGCTCTATTCCAGGTATGCAGTAAACACACTGTCGTTTTAGTTTCACTCACTGAATCACCCCCAACAACAATCATGCTAGAAGAGTGAAGAGGCTGCGACAGTCACAATGGTGTACCTGGCCCTCTTCCTGGGCCACATCACTAACATGGCTCTAATGAGGGAGTTTCTCAAATTTCTGGTGGTTGGGAAATACGACGATAGATCCATCGTCAACATCATTCTCAACAGTATCAACAGTACCAATATAAATGTAAGAACTCATTACTGCATAGTGATATAATTATGGTATATGTATGTCCACGTGTATAATTTTCACATAGAACAAACATACTGTATGTTTTACTTGATGTGTTTTGTATTTTTTTGATGTTCTGTACCAACAGTTTTGAAAGCATTCTAGAGTGTGTTAATGGTGCGGTTTTTTTCTCTTTGTTCCCATCAGACCTGTACAGTGGCTTTGGAGCTGGTGTATGTTCTGATTGACTTGAACTGTGAAGACGTGTTACTGGAGCTAGTTTTCAAGTCAGCGTGAGATTTACGGCTACACTTTGTCCTTTTTAGACTTTAATGTTGTCTTTTTAAAGGTGTTGACAAGGTCTCAGAGTGTTCTAACAGCTTTCCCCCAAACTTCCAGAGTTTTTAATGAGTCGATGTTTTTAGAACACGAGTAAAGAGTTTAAGTGTTTCTACATGTATATTGTGAGGCAATTAGGTATGCTAGCTTTGGTCACCAATTACACTACACACAACTGGTATGTATACAGGTACCTCATGACAGGGAGTCACGTGATGCACAATCAGGTGCCGGTGGTGGCTCACCCAGACATCTACGGAGAAGCTGCGAGGAAGCTTCTTCAGCTCCTCCCGTCGTCTTGTATCACTGCCGAGAAGATGCTCCTGGACTCCATCCGACCTACTTCGACGACAACACAGAGTCAACAGTCTTCCTACCCAGGAACTCCTAATCGCGTGGGGTCTCCCCCACCCCCTCCCCTCCTCACCTCCTCCCCTCTCCACCAGCCTCACTCGACGGCACACCTAGAGCGGCCGAGACCTCTCCCTCACCTCGCCGTGGCGACCAGAAACTCAAACGGAGTTTCTTCAAATCCGTTCGACGTCGTCCCTCTCCCTCCTCCGACTCCGCGAAGTCGCAGCGGGAGCAATGGTAGCTCAACTGGTAGTCTAATCAGCATATCAAGCTTGGCCTCAATGAGTCAACCCCTCGGTAATAACTCGTTAACTCAAACCTCCACGTCGCCCGACATGTTTCATTTCGAGTACGTTCCCCCTCCCCTGTCATACATGCGTAATTTGCTCGCCGCCCGAGAAGCTATAGAAGTGTGTTGGACGCGATGTCGAGGATGGTGCAACATGTACGACAAGTGTTCGGAGCAGCCCAGGGGGGACGCTGCTGCAGAAGAAGAGAGAGGAAGAACAGAAGCTGGGAAATCCCGCGAAATGGAAGACATAACCGGGAAGGAGAACGCGGCAAGGCAAGAGGAAGAGGAGGGGAAAAGCCTCGCAAGGCTAAGTTCTTTCAGAACTCGATCGGTGACAGTCTCGACGTCGTACCGGCTCCCTCTGGCACGGAACCGGGACAGTGGACCTAGCCATAATCCTAGGAACAACGGTGCTGGTGATCGTTTGACACCACACGAGAGAGACGTGCTTGACGGCGCGGATAAGAGTGTCCAACAGGCTGTTAGAAGATCTCCAAGATTCTCCCGGAGAGCTGAGGACAGCAGATTCGAGGAAAAGACGGGTCTCCTACTGAAGGTGCTGATGGACAAACTCTCGGAGATGCTGTCGCTCCACCGGCAGTCAATGTACAGTTGACTCGGGTGATCAGCCGTCTAGCACACTATCCTCAGCCACTATTGAGGTCTCTGCTGCTGAATCATCAGCTGGTGCTCAGACCTGGTGTCCCCAATCTATACTACGTGAGTACCACATACTCTATATCGCATGTAAACTAACATTCAGGTGTGTGATTTGTGTACAACACTACAAACTATATAAGGTCACATGTCATAAATTATAGCTATAATGAATGCAACAGTATGATGAGAGTGTTGTGTAAAGTGTACAGTTGGATGCCCGCGTTCACCCACCCCTCCCTCTCCAGGTTCTCCAAGGTGTCAAGGTGACCGTAGACCGCCACGCGAGGTCACAGGAAGACTTTGAAAAGAGACTCGGAAGAGCCCGCAAGACAATGATCTACAGAGCCCACATCAGAAACGCTCAGTTGGAGGAGTCTGTGGCCAGCCAGATTGTCGCAAGATTCACAACGAGACGGTTGTCTGTGTCCCAGCTCGGAGACAGACAGACAGGATCCAATCACAACCAGCACAACACCTCTTCTCTGGATTCCACAGAAGATCCTCTGCCAACTACTACAACAAGGTCGCACTCGGAGATTCAGCGGACGCGCTCCCTCCACAGGGCTCGAAGGACCAAGCCCAAGAAGGTGTCCACCAACACGCTCTTTGCAATTGTGATTTTCGACGAGTTCCTGAAAGAACTGGCGTCGCTGGCACACGAACATGCAAGCCTCAATCTGACTAGTCTAGCACAGAGGACAGCAACCTCTTTGTGATGACCCCTTGTGTACATTAGGCGTGTGCAATTTTCTGTCCAGCTTTTTCAAAGACACTTTTCAAAACTGGCGCGGCCACCGCGCGAATTTGGCGCGCACACTAGTCGACGCCGCGTGCGCGTCACATGATCAATTTTTGGGTGCGAGAAAATAAATCCACGCCTTCTGTCGCTCTCTCTGTGACATCCTCTGAGGATATTTCAGGCCCTCCGTCGCCGCTTTCACCCATTTCACCATTCTGACTCACTGGACGTGTGGACTGCAGGCCCGGGATCGCCGCCCAGTGCTATTCTAGCGTAAGGTAAGCAAATAGCTTGCTCTGTAGATGGTGGCAAGAATTTCATCAATATAGAAGAAAAATGCTTGTAGTGAGGGTCTTCAAGGGGATTCGAAGTCTCACAAGCTTCATCGAGGCCTTTTACAGTACACTTGACTTCCCATCTTTTATAGAGATGCAAAAATCGACATACGCAAGGGAAGGTGTGACTTTGTATGCTCTCCCTTTCAGTACTGGGCGTTCTATATTTAGAACTCATGTAGGTTGTGTTGTACTCTACTTCTCTACTGCATGTAAACAATAAACTGTATAATTATTGTAGCTTTGTGAGCAACCTGACAAATTTCGTACCGACCTATTCTCTCTCGCTATCAGACAATGGAAACGGAATACGACTATCTGTTCAAGATAGTCCTCATTGGGGACGCGGGAGTCGGCAAAACCAGCATTGTCCGGAGGTACACCGACGGAATCTTCACCTCGGCAGGAATCCCCACCATAGGAGTCGATTTTTGCATCAAGACTCTCCAGATTGGAAGCAGTGCTGTCAAAGTAAGGGCTCCTTAGCCTTTTTGAGAAGTAGTCTCCTCCCTGCATTCTGCAGCATGTGTAATTGGTTCTGCCTATTGCTCTGGGTGTATATAGGTTCAATGGCAAAAGTGCTATGGCTGAGTGAGTGTGGTTTTAATCATGCACTCCACATAATGAGTGTATATAGTGGGAAAGGCCTGGAAGAAAGCTACGTAAGAAGTTAAGTGGGCCAGCTTCAAGAGTCAAAGCTGCAGTTCTCAGGCTGTGATGTTGAGATAAAAGGCTTGACCCGTGCAAGCTGTTTTTATTCCTCTGCTAATTCTGACTGTTAAAAAGGTTGATGGAGCAAGATCCAATCACCTGATGGTGAATACACCTTAGTTATCTTTTTTCCCCTGTCAGCATGTGGGTAAGTGACCAGTGAGTGATGTGGTCATGGTAAAGACTGGTAATGTGTAGTCAGAGGGTGTTAGATACACACAGCCACCTTCCAGGCCACCTGCTGTGCATCAACCTACGCTCCACACACGTGGAGACTATGTGTCCAACAAACAAGCTCTGCTTTCATACATCATGTGTGACAGACTCCCACTTCCACCATCTACCCTTTCCTTATTATCAACTTATTGTGTGTGCAGCTTCGTTGACATACTGCTCAATTCTGTGGTTAAACTTGTAAATTGTTTCCTTTGGGTATGTGTTCTTCCTTGTTTTCGCACTTCCTGTTCTTTTACCTTTACCTCCTCCTTTACCTCAGCTCCAGATATGGGACACGGCTGGCCAGGAGAGGTTTAGAACCATCACACAGAGCTACTACCGTAGTGCAGACGCCATCGTCCTTGTCTACGACATCGGGGCCTCCCTCACCTTCAGAAATCTCCCCGAGTGGCTAGCCGAGGTGGAGCGCTACGCCGGGAACAGTGTTCACAGGATTCTCATTGGGAACAAGAGCGACCGGCCGGACCGCGAAATCGAAAATGTCATGGGGAAACAGTTTGCAGACGAGAACGGCATGCCCTTCCTAGAAACCTCGGCAAAGAACTCTGAAAACATTGACGCCCTGTTCTTGCAGCTGGCCAAGACTCTGCGGGACACTCACGTGGACAAGAAGCTAAAATCGCCCCACAGTGGCGTTGGGGGCGCGAGCGTAAAACCCAACACTGTATCCCTAACAAAAACTGAGAAAAAAGCAGAGGCTGGTGGTGGCAGTGGTTGTTGCTAAATGGAATGTTAGTTTTCTGTTTTATGTAAAACCAACTGAGAACCTCTGTTTTGCTATACCATGGTTTTGTACACACTGAAGCCCGTTGTTTTTTACCGCAAGTCATGGTTTCTAATTGGAGCGCATTACGTTTTCCCAATTGAAGCGCACCGCGTCACTTGCAAGTATAATATACTCCGCCCGAACTCTCGGCCGTCGTGGTTTACGAGAGATACGTATCTTCTGTGCATGGCCCTGAAGGGGAAGTTGTTGAAGAAGATTCGAAGAAAGCAGGCGCAGTTTCAGACCAATGAACCAGAAATGGGCGTCAGGTTTCTGGATGAACTCCCTGCTATTACAGGCGACCTTTCAGTTTACCACTTTTTTATCGGGAACGGTGGTACGAGGAGTGGTCTTAGTTGTGAGGTTCTGACGGCTTTACTTGACGGCGTTGACACGCTGTACATGCCCGAGTCTAAAGATTTTAGTTTTGCAAGTGTGACAGGAGAGACTAAGGCAACTGAGCTACTGAGGGACTACAACGGCCTTTGTGTACAGGATATCTGCAAAGCAAGAAATATCAATCACTTGCTAACTCCAGCATTATTGCAGGGGCCTCCACTTCATCTCTATCTCAGTCTCGTAGACAATATCCCGGCAAGTGTATCGAAATTTGATGTGGTTCGTAGTTTTTCACTTACCCCCTGGACTTATCCTTATCCCCGAGTTCATATCACTGGCAGAAGAGAGAGAACTACTTAGTTACTTCACTTCTTCTACATCTAGGCCTAGTTCAGTGGTTTCTCACTTAAACGATACAGTTCCAAATGGTATTGCGGCAGAGGACCCCAAAGATTTAGAAATAAGCTTTTCTGAGCCAAGTACGACTCTTGCTATGGTGTCCACACCAATCCTCCCCGTTTCATCAACTCTAAAACATCGTAGTGTTAGACACTATGGCTATGAGTTTATCTATGGTAGAAATACAGTTGATCCCGACCTGCCTCTGCCTGGTGGACTCCCTGATGTGTGCACCCCTCTACTTGAAAAGATGACTAGTCAAGAGTTGCTCCAATGGATGCCTGACCAACTCACTGTCAATGACTATCTCCCTGGAGCAGGTATTGGAGGGCAACAGTGTCCTCAATGATAAGGTTTTCAGTTCAGGTTAAATGTTCGATATTTCCAGTAATATTTGTACGAAACTCATGTAATAAAAGTATAGCTATAAATAGTGGTCTATCTTCTGTGTGTATGGTTGCTAAAGAGAAGACGCTTTCAAGTGTGTACTTAAAGTGTGTGCATGTATTATCCTTCAACAGGTATTCCACCTCACGTTGATACGCACTCTCCATTCGAGGACAGAATTGCGTCTCTCAGTCTCGGGTCACAGGTGCAATGCTTATTTTGCCCCAGAGGTGTAAGTATTTAGACCCGTTATCTTTCGTTCTCAGGTGGTGATGGACTTCAGGCATCCAAATGGGAGAAAAGTGGCAGTGTTTCTGCCGAGGAGGAGCCTTCTGGTAATGACAGAAGAATCGCGATATCTCTGGAGCCATGGGTCAGTGCTGAAAGTCTGTCTGTGCCTTAGTCTTGTTCAGACCCTTTCCCAACACACACACTCACTCACCCAACTGATTTTCCTATATAGCCGCATGGTTCATATTCTTTGTGCTTGCGTATATGTCTGGGGATAAGACTGCCGCTTATCTGTGCAGAATCACTCCAAGAAAGTCAGATGAGGTCCACTGTCACATGCCCGGATATCAGGAAACATCATCAAATCCTACCCAGCAATCGTTTACCATTATCCCACGAGGCAGAAGAGTTTCCCTTACCTTTCGTAAGGTGAAGCGCTCTCCGTGTGCCTGCAGTAAGTTCGCCCCACTTACCTGTGTCCATCAAAATTATAAATCTGTTATTTCTGTAGGATATCCGTCCAAATGTGATTCGCAGCAGCACAAGAAGCCGGAGAGCCCTAGCATGCGCATGCGCTTGTCATAGCGGGTGCGCGTTTTATCTCAGTTTCAGACCGATAACGGTGTGTGGTATGTGATATGGAGATATGAAAGAAGTCCACGTGCGCCGCATGCGAGTATAAAGATGGCGGCGACTTCGAGGCCCGTATGTGCGTGTGTTCCGGACAAGCTGTTAGAGAAGTGGGGAAGCAAGGGAAGAGACGAGGCGTAAGCTAGCTGGGCACCACTACACAGTTCTAACAAGACCGCCCACTGCGGCCGTCAATCACAAGCCCAATGTGTTGTCAAGGAAGTGTGCGTTTCCTCGCTTGTTTTACCGCTCGGCCCTACGTCCGTGCCCAGGTTACAGCTCTTCCAGAAAGCCTTCAAGAAGGGATGCACGCCACTGACTGTGTTAACCGGTAATGGCTCTGTGAAGCTTTTACTTTATTACGATACACTAGTTCCATACACAGCGTGTTCTTTTACGTAGGTTTTCACGAGTTGGCGTATGACCTGCTGAAGAGATGTGTAGCTGGAGAGTTGGGAACCGACGATGCAGCTGCTTTCTTTGCAGACCTCAACACGAACTTGGTGAGTGGATCCTTTTGTCGACCCTGCTGTGTGCGTTAAATGGAGTATGTTTCTTCCAGGGAAGTCCGGAGACTTTTCCATCTCAGTTGACCGACCTTCTCTCCGTTCTGGGTAAAACTAGCCTCTCTCTCTCTCTCTCTCTTCCTTTACTGATGTTCCCTTTCCATGTTTGTCTTAGAAGGAGCATTGATTGCAGTAGTATCTCTTTGTTGAGTAATGGCATTATACAAGGGAGGGCTACATTATACAATATCACCTGGCATTTTCAATACTAGGGTGGCTTTGGCTACCTTGCTAGTTAGCGAGGTCCTGCGTATGTAGGTGTGTGAAGTATTCCTTGTCTCAATTTCCACTGGGTCACCAGATGCAGATGTGTCGTGCAGTGAGAGCAAGGAGCAACAGACTACATACAGAGCTCTAGTCAAGGCCTTCAGGGTATGGATCACTCTGTAATTTCCAACTCTCTTTCATCGCTAGAACGAATGCAACAACGCAAGCAATAATACATGCACATTGAGTGGTAGAGATTTCATAAGGTTACGTATGTAACCATAGGCAAGGCCTACAAGGTATGCTTGCTTCGTTTGCTAATTATGTTCTCCAAAGCATAGTTATCATTACGTGATTATATCATAGTGCTTTATAACTCTGCCTTTGTGTTTATCGATGTGCATGCATTCATTTTTGTATCTTCTGAAGCATTTTTCATCATGATTGTGTACCCAAAACCCCAAACGTAAATCACATGACACCTTGTTTCATGTCACGTGACCTGTATATACCTACTACAGCCGTTGCTAGGCGATGCTCTACTGAAGGAGAGGCTCGACATGGACACGCTGGAGATGGTAGGTTTGGTGGTGTCCAAGGCCAACTTCAACCAGAGATACGTCAAGACGAAGACGAAACTCTTGTAAGATGAACCACAGCATGCTGCTAGAAAGTATATACTCACTGCCATTTACTTGGTTGTATAGTGTTGTACAAAGGCCATCAGTTTTACCCTGTTTTACCTATACACCATCCCTACACATCGGCCCTTAAAAACTTGCTTCTCCACCTTCTCTGCAGTTGTTTTAGTATCTGCTTCAAGTTGTACATGTACAAGCTTGGCTCACACACACACACACACACACACAATAAACAGAGCTAAAAAGACCCATTGTCTGTGGTAGAGTCATTGGTGGTGTGGTGTATATACACTTGCGTAGCTACAAGCAGCAGAAGTTTAACCTGTTTCGGGAGGAGAGCGAGGGCTACTCAAAGTTGGTGTCTGAGCTGGGACACGAGAGGAGGCCAGTGGAAGCTGTACCTGCAATCCTCGACAACATCCGCTCTCTTATCGGTGTGTAGTAGCTCCTCTCTCTTTTTCACTCTTTCCTCCCTTACCCTGAGCTTTGTACCCTAGCTGGCCTTTCCTTTGTACATGGTGTCATATGCGTGGCTAACTGTGTGGTTTAACTACTCACAAGGGAAACAATCATTCCACATGATTATGTAACTATATATACACATGTAACAAAGGAAGGCTTAGGAATGAGGCTATGACCAGTCTTAGATTTTGCCTCTCCTCTTCCGTTATATGTTTGAAACACTCCCAGTAAAGTACATATTTTGTTGGGGTTAAGCCCCAAGAAAGAAACTTACATACACACACACCCCTCCCTCCCCCTCCCTCCCTCAAGGTCGGTTCAACTTGGATCCGAACAGAGTCCTTGACGTCCTCATGGAGGCGTGTTCCTGTTACCACGACGATGCAGAGTTTTTCCTGGCCTTGTTGAGGGGTTACCCCTGCGAGCAGGCAACGTTCGTTAACATCCTCGGCTTCAAATTTCAGAGCTGCCAGGTATACACACACACACAGCCTCTATATGTAGCTCAGGGGCTCACTACTATAGAACCAGTGCGAAGCAAGGCAACAAGAGCATGAAACTGTGCTTGACAAAATTCAAACAGAGAGGGTACGTAGAGTGCCTGCTATGTACAAGTATAACCTCCCTCCCTTATTAGATGTATATATATCTGCCACTACGATGGTTGTTGTGCAATAGTAAGAAAAACCTGTCTGGGTTTCAATTTTGAAAGGGGAGAAGGGGACTTAAAGAAGAGGGGACATCTTGCTTGCACCTCATAGTTGTTTTTATGTGTGTATATAGAAGTGGTTTTATGTATGTATGTATGTATGTATGTATGTATGTGTAGCGTTTACTAGTCACTGAATTTGTACAGAGCTCTGAGACGTCTGAGCACCTGTTTCGACTGGCTGCAGTACTCCTCCACGAAGGTCTGGTCTCCCTCACCGACCTCTACCCACACGTACGTCACATGACTCCCCACCTGACTCGTCAATTACATCGTCATTACATCACCGCACAGTTGAGTGTGAGCGACTCGACGCTGCGAGAATTCTACGAGTCCTCTCTGGAAGACGCGCAGACGGCGGCCAAAAAAGCCATGATAGTCTCTCTCACCGTGAGTTAAGCCACTGCGTCAGCAGGACCTGGGCCCCCGTGTGTAGAATTTCCAGGCCTGCTGCTAGCTGCCTGCTCCCCCCACCTCTCTCTCCCTGTCTGTATGAGACTCTTGAGTGTCCCGCAGGAGAAGACCGAGGAGGAGAGACGTAAAGAGTCCGAGATCGAGAAGGAGAAGCAGGTGACCATATCTCTATTTCTGCCACCCTTCTACCCTCTTTGGTCTCTTTTTGACCTCATCCCATTGCATTACTCTACATTTCCCTCTTTCTACTTTCTCTCTTCCTTTTGTCGTTTTCACCTCTTAATCTCCCCCCTCTTTTTCCTACTTTTATCTCTTCACTTTCTCCTTCTGTCCCTTCATCTTTCTCTCCCCTTCTCTTTTTCCACTCTGTCATGTCTGTATTAAAAGTTTGACTTGTCTCTCTCTCTCTCTCTCTCTCTCTCGTCTGCTGCTGAACTGCAGGAGTACCGTAAGAAGATCTTGGACGCAGACACTAACCAGAAGTTGGGACTGCTCATAGCGGCGATAAGACTTGGAGATTGGCCCACTGCATCGTCCCTCATCTCCCACCTCCCTCCCCTCCTCCCCTCCTGGTGCGGCGCCATCTCCCAAGTCCTCTTCCAGCTGATCCACTTCCTTCTGGACCCTCTCTACCGCATGTGAGTTTCAAATCTCTACCGCATGTGAGTTTCAAATCTCTACCGCATGTGAGTTTCAAATCTCTACCGCATGTGAGTTTCAAATCTCTACCGCATGTTGAGTTTCAAATCTCTACCGCATGTTGAGTTTCAAATCTCTACCGCATGTGATTTTGAAACCTAAGTGCCTGAAATTTAGCACTGCACTCTTCAGCTATAGAGTAAGTATTTTAATGATTTTTCCCAGGTACGCTCCGAAGGCCTCCAAATCGTCTTCTCCCTCCTTATCCCCTGAACTCTGCACCCCATGTCACCAGTTCACCGATCTCACTCCACACGTCTTCCAGATGCTCTCCTGTGTTGGGCCCTCTCTGCACTCTGACCCCATCCTCCTCACGAAACTGCTGAGACTCGGCCGCGCCTTCTTCAAGGAACACGGCGGTTGTCTTGGTCGCTCTACTGCACAGGACGACCCGCCTTCTCAAGAGATAGTCAGTTCATTAATTACCTTTGCTCTTTTATAGGAAGGTGTAGTTTAGCCCTCTACAACCCTCAATCACTAGAAAAAGTTTAAAAGTCAATTCGTCCTCCATGAACTAGTCGCTTTTGGAGTTTCTAAGTGAAGGCCAATTCTTGCTGTAGTAGCTTATTTTTCTTATTTTTGCTGGCTCTGTGTGTAAGTATATACTCCATTATATATAAGCGCATATGTGCTGTAGTTATTTGAACTGTTGCGACATTACGTATGTGCATTATATATTGTTGACACTGCTAAGCACGAATATCTATCTCTCTGACTGGTACAGATGGACGTGTTTCATGGGTTTCTGACGGTGATGGATGAGGCCATCCTTCCCTCCGTGTCCCTCCTCAGCTGTAACTGTGGAATCTCGGAGGAGCTGTGGTCTATGCTCAAACAGCTGCCCTACGAAAGGAGGTCTCTCTCTCTCCCACTTCATGTCCACATAGTGTCACTCTCTTGGTCTTTTGGTATTATGTGTGCATGCTGTTTATATACATGTCAGCTTTCTATGCCACCACCACACACAGATTTATTTGAGGTTTGCTTTTGTAGTTTTGAGCACATCCACCCAGTGTGAGCTGCCCTTCACTGTGGGTAGAATCCTCCAGAATGTAGAGTGCTGTGGGTTCCAATATCGTTTTCTTTTCTGGTGCAAAGTTACCAATGTGTAGATACATGTAGTTGTTCTTGGTGTATACAGTGTGTGCATGGCTGGTATGCTATAAACTATAATTTCATACACCTCGGTGTGTAGGTACGAACTGTATGGGAGGTGGAAGAACAGATCATACGGTATCTATCCTGAACTGATGGAGGCCAGAACACAGACCCTCTCACAGGGAAGATACATCATGAAGTGAGACTGCCGCGGCCTAGCTCATTTTGGTACTCTTATAGACTGCGGTCTCTTTTTGGTTTGAGTGTGGTCCGTGTTTGCCACCACTAGTTAGCTCTTTTTGGTTTGACTGTGGACCGTGTTTGCCACACTAGTTAGTTGTAGCTGCGGTCTCTTTTTGGTTTGACTGTGGACCGTGTTTGCCACCACTAGTTAGTTGTAGCTGCGGTCTCTTTTTGGTTTGACTGTGGACCGTGTTTGCCACCACTCGTTAGTTGTAGCTACTGCGGTCTCTTTTTGGTTTGACTGTGGACCGTGTTTGCCACCACTAGTTGAGTTAGTGTCCAATGTGTGGTATCGGTGATGATGAAAGAATCACCATCTTTCGATTGATATCTCCGTGAAACAGATATATTCTACCAACTCTGAGATACCGCAATGCACACACATACCCTTGTTCACTGTATATACGTCACTGGCGAGTGCAATGCAAAGGTGCACAAATTGGTGAACGTATCACGATGCAGAATATCATTGTTTTTCTCGCTCCATGACACGTGTGGTGACGTGGCAAAAATGTTGCATTGTGTATTATTTGTGTTTCGCGGTAGGCGGCTGACGAAAGACAACGTGAAGCCGTCCGGCAGAATGATCGGGAAACTGAGCCACAGTAACCCTGGAATCATATTCGAATACGTGAGCTCTCGTCTCCTCTTTCAGTTTCAGTTTACCTCCCCACACCACCGTCACTGCCCTACCTACCTGTCTCCTCTGCAGGTCTTGTCGCAGATTCAGCGCTACGACAATTTCATAATTCCGGTGGTGGATGCACTGAAGTACCTGACTCCCATGGCCTACGACGTGTTGGCATGTATCCTTATGTGTATATGTGTACTAGCGATGGACGTTCCTCTTTGTGACACGAATTAACTCTTTGTCTTGCGTCACTTTTGAATGATCCCCACCCCTTAAAACACAGGCCTTAATCACTGCCAAATTCGATCAACACTGCCACTTCCCCTGAATACGCACTGTTTTTCCTGAGCGAGTGTGATAGATGTGGTCATAGAGGCGCTGGGACATCCGCAGAAGGAGAGGTTGAAACACGAAGACACCAACATCTCCAACTGGCTCCAAGGTAACTAGTAGTTTCCTCTGGCCACATTTTGGTTGTGGTATGTGTACCTCTACTTAAGTTCACATGCAATACGGTGGACTTCATTTTGATATAGACACCAATGGGACTTAAGAAAGTGTTCATATTACTGAACTGTACTGTATGCAAGAAACTGCCCCTGTTAGATCGAGAGGTGCCTCATTTCAGGATTTTCTTAGAGAGGGGTTCCACTGCTGGGAAGAAAAGAAAGCTTACATGCCTCAGACTGACGAGCCATCCAGCAATATTTTCGCCTCATTTCCCTCCTGCAGGCCTGGCAAACTTCAGTGCTAATGTGTTCAAAAAGTATCCAATAGAACTGACTGGACTGCTGCAGTATGTAGCCAACCAACTGAAGGCCGCCAAGAGGTGTGTACAATAGTAGGCTAGGTTCGCAATCTTTACTCTCTCGTTTTCCGATGCTAGTTTTGACTTGTTGGTCCTGAAGGAAGTGGTGCAGAAGATGTCGGGAATTGAGAACTCGGATGAAATCACTCAGTCGCAGCTGGAGGCCTTGGCTGGTGGAGAACTACTCAAGGCTGAAGTGAGGGAGAGGGAGGATGGAGGGGGAGAGGAGAGGGAGGATAGAGGAGAGGGAGACAAGAGAGGAGAGGAGAGAGAATGAATTAGAGTAACATTGCCTTTTACAGTGGAGATTTAAGTGTAGCATGAAGCACACAAGAGGTGTGCTTGTCTTCTATATGGAACAGGCCTAGACAACCAACTTTTTGGATGAAAAAAGAAACCTTATTGATAGAGTGTGTGTGTGAGAAGGGGACAAAATGACTGCCATCTCTGGACACATTATACAGGGAGCATACTTCAGTCAAGTCCGGAACACCAAGAAATCGTCCCACCGTCTTCGCGAGGCGTTGCTGGAGGCCGACCTCAGCCTACCTCTCTGTCTCCTCATGGCGCAGCAGAGAGACGGCATCATCTACAGGGAGGGGGCCAACCGGCACTTGAAGCTTGTCTGCAACCTCTACGACAATGTATGAATGTTACCCCCACGTTTCATGTTTTGATAATTACAAGACACTACTGTATGTATACAGGTAACGAGAATTTTAGGTAATGCAAAAGTGAAAATATTGCAAACACTGTGTGTGTATGTGTGTATCTAAGGCCGAGTGAAGTAATAAAAAAAAAGTCATGTAGGGAATGAGTAACACCGATGACTCAACCTCAGGTGTCGTGACTGGAAGTCCAGTAGGCTACACACTGAGCTACAGCTCCCAGACAAAAGCTGGTCTTCCCCATTCAAACTACTGTCTTTCCAAACTGTGTGTTCTCACATATATATGTGTTTGCAGTGTCTGGATACGCTGGTCCAGTTCGGCTGGCTTCCTCTCCACTCACCTCAACCCTGACGACTATAACTACAAAGTTCCCCCACTCGACGTACTCGGACTAGAATACCACGTCCCAGCCGACGCCGCCTTCTTCATGCTCCGCCCACTGATCAAGAGCTCCATCAATGTGAGCATGTGACAGTCATGTGATACTCATGCATAGTCCCTAAAGTTTGTAAGCCAAGCGAGCCCAGTTAGTTGGCTGCATTGTTTCGATTTTTGTATGTACACCACACGGACCGTAATGCTTTGTGTCATAAAATTACCGAAATTTTGCTCTCACATTCACTCACACGAGAATGGTATTGTGGTGCATTCATTCTATATAGCAAGGCAAGTGAAATAAGCTGGTCTGGTGGTATTGTAATGTACTCTCGTGACTATCATGTGGTCTGAGTAGTGTGTCACGTGACTGTGAAGACGGTATCTCGTTTCCACAGGAGAGTTTCGAGGCAGAAAAGGCAGAGAAAGACAAGGTGGGGCTGAGTAAACAGGCAAAGGCTTCTGCACAAGAGGTGAGCTTAAGAATTGCGTACACATTCTACAACAGAGCTTAGAATGGTCCATTTTGCATGCTTTAGACCTTAATTGTGTGTGGGTGTGAATAATTATGTATGTAGTGAAAAATCGAAAATCAAGCATGTGTGTATGTAACTCAATGGTATTCGTTTTTTGCCCAGTGTCTTTCCCATCATTAAGTTTGTCATAACATAGTACGTGTACTTCAAGCAGCACTCCATTTGAAACCCTGTGCAAGTAAGTACACACAGCAAGCCACTTTGTATATACGAAAGAGATGGAAACGCTTTTAAGATGATGCCATGAAGATTTTCCAGCTATAATATCGCTATAATAGGGCTCAATGTGAAGCAGATGTATATATGTATGTGAAAATGTTTTCACCTATAATTATACCTCTTCCAGGCAAGCTACCACTGTGCGTGGTACTCAGTGCTGGACCCAGTGGTAGAGGCAGCACGTCAGCTGCACACACCGAAGGTCTGGGAAGACATGTCTCCAAAACTATACACCACTTTCTGGGTCCTCTCACTGTACGACCTCTACGTCCCGACCGGTCGCTACGAGGACGAAGTGAGGAAGGCACGCGAGGCCATCAAGGACATCGACGACAAGTCTGATATGGTGAGTTTACTGGAGATTACTGGAGTTTACAAGAATCAGGAATACGTACCTTGTCAGGAAGGGACCAAAGATGAACTTGGGGGGGGGGGGCATAATCTATAGTTCAGGAGGTAAAGTTTGGTGAAAAGGAAAGGCCTATTTTCTGTATAGAGAATACCCTGGTAAAGGTGTACACATTGGTGGGATGTTTATTCCTCTCATCCTCCTTCTCCCCTCTCCTTCTTCCTCTCCTCTCCCGCCAGACCTCCAGCAAGCGGAAGAAGGAGCAGGAGCGAAGTGTGGCTCTGATAGAGAAGCTGCAGGAAGAGAAACAGAGACAGGAGGACAACCATCGTCTCGTGAACAGCTGCATCAAGCAGGAGAAAGACTCATGGTTTACCGCCAGTGAGCTGTCATGTGATTGTCACATGATACGTTCAATACACTTTTGACAGTCAGTGATGATGTCATGTGATCGATGTGTGCTGTTTGTCTTGTGATAGTCACGTGATCATGTAGGTTGCCGGTTTATTTTGCCTTGTCCCTGCAGAAGTGACAAAGAACCGGACCATCACGCAGTTCTTGCAGCTGTGCATCTTTCCGAGGTGTCGGTTCACAGCAACCGACGCCATTTTCTGTGCCAAGTTCGTGTACATGCTGCACACTCAACAGACTCCAAACTTCTCCACTCTCCTCTTTCTCGACCGAGTGAGCCGTCAAACCCAACCCCCCTTTCTCTCCCCCTCCTTCCCTTTCTCGTTCCCTCTCCTTCCCTTTCTCCTTCTCTCTCCTTCCCTTTCTCTCTCCCTCCTTCCCTTTCTCCTTCTCTCTCCTTCCCTTTCTCCTTCTCTCTCCTTTCCCTGTCATTTTATCATCCAAGTACTGCTCGGTTTTTTTTCTTCATTTTGTTTCCTACAGACTTTTTCTGATATTTCCTACTCTGTGGCTTGCTGTACTGAAAATGAAGTCAGAAGATATGGTAAGTACAGGTATAGAAACATCCTGTATATATATGCACATGATGCCAATGGTGAAAGGGGCGTATTGATGTGTCAATGTGTGTGTTCTCTCAGGGAGGTTTCTGGGGGCCATATTGGAGATAGTCAGCAAATGGCACGCAGCAGAGACACTTTATGAACAGGTTAGCTATTGGTGTTTGCCAAGCGGTATTTTCACTGCACTCTCCAGCTATAGTCAATATATTCAGGACGGTTAGTTGTCCTGTCCTTCCTTCCGTGGTTTCGATAAAAGTACGAAACGTTTAGCCTCCATATCACCTTTCACTGCATTCCCCAGCATTATTGAAAGTGGTTGTTTGGCCTGTCCTTCCTTCTTCGGACACTTTTACTAAATTCTCAGTACCCCATACATGTACAGCCGTACTGACCTACACATGCATAGCTGCTGCATTATGGTGATAGTGCACTTTCAATAACCCCCTCCAAGTTCCCATTTCCTCTATTTGTTGCCCCCCTCCCACCCCCCACAGGAGTGTGCCCGTACCCCTGGGTTCATCTCCATGATGCGCAGTTCCGCCGGAGGGGCAGAGAAGATGCAGTACCTCGACTACGAGAACTATCGCCACATCACGTTCAAGTGGCACTTCAAGCTCACCAAGGCTCTGGTCGTTCTACTGGAGTCAAAAGACTACATGCAGGTATTGCTATAATGGCACTTGAATCATGCTTCTCTTTAACCTAAACGGAATAAGGGACAGGCGGTGTGCGGGGGTAAAAATCTGCTGCTTGTATAGTTTGAGGAATTGTTGTATGTAGGTCAATACTTGCCTTACCCTTATACCATGTGAAAGTCTGTGTCAAAGATCCATAGCCAATGATACTCTTCATCAGCATGTACTAACCTCTCTCCTAATCCCTCCTCTTTTTCTTTGTTTCCCTCTCTTTCTCTATCCACTCTGCTCTCTCTCTCTCTTTCTCTCTCGCTCTTCCTCTTTATCCTACCTCTACTGTTAGGTTCGCAACGGCCTGATCGTCCTTACCAAAGTCTTGCCGTACTACCCCAAAGTCTACCACCTCTCAATAGCGCTGGAAAAGAGAGTGGAGAAAATCATGGAGGAAGAGAAGGAAAAGAGAGCTGACTTGTATGCTCTTGCCATTGGGTGAGCTACCTTGTCCCGAGTTAATTCAGGATATCCCATATTAATACGGGGCAAACTGCTGTTTTGAATGTGCATTTATCTGGTTTCGGTGATGATTTCCATAAACACCATCTTTCGATTGAAATCCTAATGAAACCAAACTTCCTAACTCTGAGGAACCAGATATCGTTAGCAGAGGAGAGAATTAGATAGAAGTAGACGATGCATAATATCATCTCACTGCTCTCGTGCTTACAGGTATGCTGGGATGTTGAAGTTGCACAAGCAGAATCTGGTTCCAGAAGCTGACTTCCACATCCGTGAGGAGAGAGTGAAGGCGCAGAAGACGGAAGGAGAGGCATCGACTTCGGCTAAACCGGCCTCTACTCCTGCCCCACCGACAGCTGCCACAGAGAAGACGACAAAGAAGGAGAAAGAGGCGACGAGGGAGAAGGGGGAGAAGGCTGCTGCCAGTAAACCGGAGGAGAAACCGCCGCAGAAGATCACCAAAGTGAAGGGAGCACTCACGGCCACGGAGGCTAGGGCAGCAGCAGAAAAGGAGAAGAAGGAGCAGCTGGCATCAACGAAGGAAAAAGGTGAAGAGAGTAAGAGCCCAGAGTCTGCTTCAGAGGCGGTGGCAGCTAGCGCCACTTCTGAGCTGCAACAACCGTCCACACCTAATCCAGAGCTTCCCGCAGCATCTGCAGCAAGACGAGAGGCAAAGACGGGCGGAAATGGCGTCGCTGCTACCTCTTCTTCTGCGTCCAAGACGGCAAAGACGAAGACCAAGGAGGCTGTGTCGTCAACGGCGACGGCGGAGAACGGCGGGAACAACAACCATCACCAGGTGAAGAAGTCAGCGAAGTCGATGGGGAAATCAACAGAGGAGGAGTCGGGAAGTGGCGACAGTAGCTCAGAGAAGAAGACCACTTCGAAAGGATCGGGGAAAGCGAGATGACAAAGCCCCGAAAGGAAAGCCGAAATCTCTGCTGGATAAATCAGACGGAGCAGCCACGCCGAGCAGCAGGGGGGCCAGCCCTTCAAATGCACCGTCTCCAGTGATGCGGGGGGCCAAGGGGACCAAAAATTCCCCAGTGGTGAACCAGAATGGCCCCACGACTACCGCGACCCCCTCACCTCGAGCTGGGCAGAGGAGACAGCTCTCTGAGAACGAAGTCACAGAGACTATACCTGAAAAGGGTGAGCCACTGAACTTTCCCTTTTCACCCCTCCAATGCACCCCTCCCAATGCAACAGACGTTTGTGAAAATTGTTCTTGTTTTTTACTACAGAATCGAAGAGACGAAAAATCGAAGAAAAAGTAATGGATATCCCCATAAGAGACTGTGTTGTAGATATAACCATGTGTTCTGTTGCCCCTTCTTCGCGGATTGTTTCCTCTGTAAAGAATTCTTACTGTTCCGTTTGTTGTGTATGTACGTGTGTTATGTACGTATGTTACTGACGACCTTAGTCCAAAATTACTCTTTCTTTCTTTCAGTCCTAGCTGTTGTATGTCTAGCTACTTCATCACATTTGTTTGTATGTTCTTGGCCATGTGATCTAAAGTGTTAAAGTGTTCGGTCCTGTGGTTAATTCACAATGCTTGTTGATAGAAAAGACGCGTTTGTTCAAGTAGTGATGTGTGGACTTCTCTGTCTCTCTCCAGGCAAAGGCAGATGATGCGTCAAGTAAAGAAAAGGATGCAGAGAAAAGAAAGCGAGTGAGTTTTGCCAATCATGTGAACCGAACGTACACTTCTGTTCATGCTCAACGCTGAAGTTCGGGTATGGTGAAGCAACCTCTGAGTAAGGGAGGTTCAACAACTTGAGGATGTTTTAAAATAATATACTTTTTCAATACTAATAGAGTACACATGTAAGTAGTGTCATTATTATTGGAGGATCCTTCAACATCTTCTGTAGGAGAGATCCTCGGATAAGGAAGCATCCACGTCAGAAGCCAAGCGCCGGAAAGACTCGCCGCGAGATGATTCTTCGACTTCTTCCTCCCCACAGCCGGATTCCAAGGTTACACTAGGTCCATACGGCCACGTATTCAGTACTCATTCCCCCATATTTCCATTCCCACGACAGAGGAGGTTGGTGAAGGTAAGCAGCAAGAAGGACGTGACTTCAAAACTTCAGGAGACCAAAAGGTTGAAACAAGAAGCAGTGCCGAAGGTAGAAGATCAAGAAGTAGTCCTGTTTATCAAACGTAGTGCTTAGGGGTGGGGATGCCATAGCATCAAAGCTGCAAGGACCTGTGATAATAGTTGTGATCAACAATAAACTGTTGACAGCAGTCACATTTTGTTATTGCTTGTATGTATGTAGGTTGCCGTGAAGAAAGAGAAAGAGGAAAAGCTGAAGAAACAGTATCCTTAGCGTGATGAAAGTGTACACTTCTGCACCAATGTATGTATAACTCAACGGGGGTATTCAAAAAAACCTCACACTGTTTGCCAAACTGTGATCTACTGCAAAACAAAACTCGTTTGTTGTCTTAACATAAATCAGTGTTGGCCGTCCTGTAAAGAAAGAAAAAACTTAATGTCTTACTTCCACCCTGCACATGATTCATTACTTCTTCTAGTTTTACAAAACATGGTGATAATTCCAGCTATTATTATATTATCTCTATTCATTTGTATACTGTTTGTACATGTGCCTCACCTTGCTGTGTGAATAATTCACTGTGTAAACGTGTTATTGCTATTCTTTTACTCTCCAATCCACTGAATATGCGCAGCAAACAACTGTTGATCGTTTGCATGGTCGAGACGTTTCAAGTTTCTACACATTACACGCGTTTAGAATTTTTTTTAAAATGTACATACATTTCAAAAAATACGTCCAGGTGTCACACACACACACACACACACACACACAAACGTTTAAAAAAGTACGAAGCAGATACATAACTCATACATTCAATTTGTAAGTGAAACAATAATTATTATAGAGCCGTCTCTTCATCTTCTTCCCTCCCTTCATTTTCATAAACGCGGACAGTGTCTCTGAGATAGAGTAAAAAGTTCCTCTCTTTTCGTTTGTAGTGGTAGTCGCAGCACGTCATTAGCACAGCCATCGCGAAGAAGATCAGCAGTGCGAGCAGGTAGAACGTGGCAAACAGAAATGGAGCGCTGCTTGTTTCGATGCAGACTTCCGATTCGTTGTCGTTGTTTGAATCTGTTGCAGTGGTTGCCATGGTTGTGACGGTGGTTTGGGTTGTCGTGGATTCCTCGTTGCTGGAGTTTGTTGCCTTGTTGACAAACAAAAACACTGACACGGCAAACGAAATAATCACAACTGTGTAAACCGTGGCAATGATCGCGGTCATTTGGGTTGCCAAGCGACTCGCCTTCTTGGTGCGTGCACACTTGCAACACTTGCTGAACCAGTAGACGATGAAAGCAGCTGCGAGGACGTGCGTGAGAAGAACAACCAGCAACAGCGGGACGCTGTAGTGGCACGATGGAACCAGCGGCGCCCTATCGGCTTCAACTTCTTTCAAAGCGTCCAACAGTGCTGCCGCGGAGAGCGGGACGACTAGCAACATCCAGAGAACAGCTGCCAGAATGCTGAGAGACAGCCACCTGTTTATGTAATAGAAAGAGAATTTCAGCTATGTTTGGGTGTAAGGTGTAGTATTACCCCTGGGGGAAAGAACGATTTGTAATTTGTTAGGGAATTCGTGCATGTGGATTATCAGTGTCAGCACGTGTGTAATGCCTTGAACAGTGCTAGGTATACTGAAAAATGTTTTACACACGGATTTGCGTGTGTAAAGTGTACAAAGGATGCATTTCATGCCCCTGAAAAATGTATGGTTGGCATTTTGGATTCAAGTGTACGCTGTACATTGTCAATGTTCAAAGAGAAGTTCCCCCAGGATGCGTTTTATGCCCCTGTAGCAGTGTGCTAAGTGCCCAGCTAGGTATTATACAGTCTAACAACAAACTCACAGCAGTGTTTGTGTTTTCTTCATGTTCTTGTTCCTGTGATGCTGTCTGTCTCCCATCTCGTAATGGATGTCAACGTTTTCGGCCCTTATGGGACCCCGTGTTGCTGTGTTTGTGTTTATGTTCTGTATGATGTATGCCTGTCCGTGGGGGCTGGGAGCTGCCTGCAGCGGATTCTGTTGAACCGCGGGGCTTTGGACGAGGTCTATGTATCGTGGAGTTTGGCTGAGGTCATCGTATTGAGGAGGCATGGATTCCGTCAGTTCGAGTGCATTGCCTTGCTGTAGTTCCTGCAAGACTTGATTCAACGCAGCAACACCGTCTTCTGTTTGGTTTATGATTTCAGTCTCGGGTGGTTGTGCCGGTACGGCGTCTGTGGCTGGTGCTGGTATCGTTTCCCTGACCACTGGAGCCTCTTGGTTTTGGTCTTGTGGTGCGGTTCCCGGTGGTGCGATGGCTTGTGATGATGGTCGCGGCGGTACTGGTGGTGCAGGCTCTTGGTTCAGGCGTGGTTCCGGTGGTTCACTCTGCGAACGAGGTGGTAAAACGGGTGGTGGGGATGTTGGGAGCGGATCTGGTACGTCGATGTACATTGGCTGGTCAGGTTCCTCTGGTGTTGGCGGCGAGCGTGGTGGAGGTAAGGGCTCATAAATGTGTTCCGTCGTATCGTCTTCCTCTCGAGCAGCTGCCGGTATCGTTTCGTAGTTTTCCTCCTCTGGGGCGCGTGCCTGCGGCAGAGTGGCCACGACTTCTGGAGGTGGAAGTAGGGGTAGGAACATTGGAGCCTCATTTGCTTGGGCTTGTTCTGCAGTTGCTGTTGCTTGGGCTCCGCTGGGAACACCCTCGTATTCTTGTTGGTCCATATCCTGGAGCAATGGGATCTCGTATTCTGATTCTTTGGAGGTAACTCTTGGTCGTGGGGCGGCTGGAACGCTGCTGGGTTCCCTCTGTCGAGCTGGTTCTACTTCAACGTAGTCAGCGAGGCTTGTGTGAGGAGGTGGCGACATCGGAACGTAGTCGTCCGCTGTTTGTTCCTCGGCTTCGTTCTGTTGATGTGTCACCTCCACGTATTCCGGCTGGATTTCTTCGTGGAATGGTGACATTGGAAGGTATTCGAATGGTGTCTCTTCTTGAGGTGGTGACGCTACCTCAACGTAGTCAGCGAGGCTTGTGTGAGGAGGTGGCGACATCGGAACGTAGTCGTCCGCTGTTTGTTCCTCGGCTTCGTTCTGTTGATGTGTCACCTCCACGTATTCCGGCTGGATTTCTTCGTGGAATGGTGACATTGGAAGGTATTCAAATGGTGTCTCTTCTTGAGGTGGTGACGCTACCTCAACGTAGTCAGATTGCTCAGATTGGCTTCCTTCGTGAAATGGAGAGATTTCGACGTAACTTTCTTCATTTTCACGATTCTGTGAAAAGTTTACATATTCCGGTCCTTCTGTTGGCGAGAGAAGTGGTGCATTTTCGTTGTCAGTGGCTTTGGGCTGAATTGTTTCGTCTGGCACGGGCTGGATCATGTTCAAGAGTTGTTCGGGCAGGGTAAGCAGTTGTGTCGCTAGTTGAGGCGAGGAGAGGGGAGAAAGTGGCGCTCCATTGTAGGTTGACTGTCCTTGCACCTGATCCAGTTGCGGCGAAGCTGTTGGGTTGTCGAGGAGAGCGAGCAAGTCGTCTGGTAGCAATGGCAACTGTGGTCCAGGGGATGCAACGTTGATATACTGTGGAAAAACATTCTGCGTTGGAACTTCCTGTTCATTTAGCGGAGATGGATCAGGGACGGCCACATTGGTGTGTTCTTCCATATGCACTGTCCTTTGTGGGTTGGCTTCTTCACGTGTGGCCCTGAAGTGCATCATTCCAAACTCGTCAAGACCTGGAGTAGCAACTACTTCATAATCTGGCTGGGGAGTAGTGCTGCTTGGAACGTGGGGTGTCAGGTCATAAGTGTGGGCGGGGTGTTGAAGTTTAACAGGTGATTGGGGCAGTTTTGGAAGCAGTAGGGATTGCGGCGATGGTGGGCGGGCCATTTCATCTTGCTCGCCGGGAGGTGACTGGGAGGAAGGACGATCTCTGGGGACACGAGGTTTGAGAATCACCTTGAACTCACTGCTGGTCACGGGTAGTGCTGATTCTGTTTCAGACCCTGCTTCTGGCAAAGTGAGATCACAAGCGCTGTGAGGCTTTGGCGCAATAACTACATTCTCGTAGATGTCATCAGATGCTGTTGTGTGTGTTTGATTTGTTGTCGGTTGAGCTTGGTCCTGGAGTGGTACCAGCTGTGGCTCAGTTTGGCTCTGGCGCGGTACATTTTGGTCGGTGTTTGGTAACGTGTCTGGTTGTGGTATTACTGTGGACTGCGGCATTGCTTCAATGTTGATGTACCCTCTTTGCCTCTTTGGGTCGGGCGGGGAAGGGGTCTGGCCTTTGTCGCGACACTCGTGGCCTTGTCATTGTGAGGTTTAAGTGGTCGGGCAGCTCATTGTGGTCTTTGGATAGGTCGCTGCCTGGCACCTCCTGATCTGGTTGTGACAATGGCAGGTGTGGGAAGTCGCGTTGTTCGTTTTCTGAAGATTTTGAAAGGAGTACCCGCGGAGTCGGTACAGGCCTCTTCCAACCTGTCTCTGCTGGCTTGGGCTGCTGCTTTTTGTGAAGTGGAATGGGCAGTGTGTTATAGTATTGCTGCCTTGACTCCCTGTGAAGGTTGGTTGGTGGAGTTACGGGGTGCGGCACTCTCTTGTGGGCTTCAATGTCGGCAAGTTCGACAATGCACCGGCACCCCTCTATCGGGCAGCGGACCTTCAACTTGTTGATTTTCTGCCGCTGGGCCTTGTCTGGGATCAGCTCCACAGATTCACTGTTGCACTTGGAGCAACTGGGGCCTTTGGAGGAGGCGAGTGCTTCCTGGATGCAGTAGAGACAAAAGGTGCTCCCGCAACACTTGGTCTGCTGAGGGTCTCTGGACACACTCAGGCATATAGAGCAGTTGTACTCGGATGCAACATCTGGATCGAGAAATTTGCAGTCATAGCCAGCTTTTGTTGTATCTCTGACAGCAGGAGGACAAAAGGCAGAATCAGTCTCTGTGTCCATTTCTTCTGGAAGGTGCACCTCTAGGATTGCTGGTTGTTGGTCCTCTATGAGATTTGCACCTTCTGGCACAATAGGCAGCTTGATTTCCGATCCAATGTCTATAACTTCGCCCTCATCCATGGCCTGTAGACCGTCTAGAACTATTGCCTGCTTATCAGCTACTTGTAGCTCCGCTTGGCAGTCCATCTGTTGCAAGGGTAATTCCCATTGTCTGTAAATTAGCCTGATTGGCAGAGCTATCAGCTACTAGATCAGTACTTACCTGAAATGCGCCTTCCGTTGAAGCCATATCCGACCCTTCTGGCCACTGAAACTGACTGAAGCAGTCTGTAGTTTCCGCCACATATGCCATACTTTACACACCCAATTACTACTGTCTCAATATGGACACACAATATTATGGGATCCTCCCACTACCACATACTTCACATTCTACTCTAAACCTCCCATTCTACTCTAAACCTCCCACCTTCCATAACAGGGATTGATATTCACAAGAGCAATTTGGCATAAAATGCCCAATGGTGTGTGAATGGGTGAAGTATAATAATATACACTGTATTCAGGCTATAAGTGGTCCTTGGCCGACTGGCCATTGGTGTGTAGGGACCTCCCAACCAAAACTGATTGGTTCTCATCAGGGTAGCAGACCATCTGTAGACCTAGACTGTGTGTAATTACGCAACATCATGTCCCCACACTTAGTGTAATGTATAATGTACACAACATAATGCACCTGTATAATGTACACAACATAATGCACCATAACACTGCACAACACGCATAACGAGGCATAACGAGTCATATCTACGCAAACACAAACACAAGCCTAATGTGCTCTCCTTTACAATGTTGCTCTAGCAGTCTGCAACTGAGCTCCATGTTCACTGCTTGTAACTAGGTCAGTGAGCAGCTCATACTGCTCAGAGCGGCCATGCTTTCGGCACTCGAGCACCAAGAAGCATCCGTGGGCTATAATAAACAGAAGGAATAGGGTAGGGAAAGCCACCGCCAGAGCAAATGGCTTGCTAGACAGTTCGAAACACTTGGGTTGCTTGTCAATGTTAGTGTTTGTTGTTGTAGTGATGGTGGAGAAAGTTATTAAGCCACTCCTACTTGCACTCGCTCCACTCCTGCTTCCACTTCCGCTTGACCCACTTCCATTTAACCCACTTCCACTTCCACTTCCACTTGAACCACTCCCACTTCCACTTGACCTACTCCCACTTCCACTTGATCCACTCCCACTTCCGCTTGGCCCACACCCACTTCCGCTTGACTCCACTTCCACTTGACCCACTCCCACCTCCGCTTGACCCACTTCCACTTGATCCACTCCCACTTCCGCTTGACCCACTCCCACTTCCGCTTGACCCACTTCCACTTCCGCTTGATCCACTCCCACTTCCGCTGATCCACTTGATCCACTCCCACTTCCGCTTGACCCACTCCCACTTCCACTTGACCCACTCCCACTTCCGCTTGATCCACTTGATCCACTCCCACTTCCGCTTGATCCACTCCCACCTCCGCTTGACCCACTTCCACTTGATCCACTCCCACTTCCGATTGATCCACTTCCACTTGACCCACTCCCACTTCCGCTTGACCCACTTCCACTTGATCCACTGCCACTTCCGCTTGATCCACTCCCACCTCCGCTTGACCCACTCCCACTTCCGCTTGACCCACTTCCGCTTCCGCTTGATCCACTCCCACTTCCGCTTGACCCACTCCCACTTCCGCTTGATCCACTCCCATTTGACCCACTCCCACTTCCACTTGACCCACTCCCACTTCCGCTTGATCCACTTGATCCACTCCCACTTCCGCTTGACCCACTCCCACTTCCACTTGATCCACTCCCACTTCCGCTTGATCCACTCCCATCTCCGCTTGACCCACTTCCACTTGACCCACTTCCACTTCCACTTGATCCACTCCCACTTCCGCTTGATCCACTCCCACCTCCGCTTGACCCACTTCCACTTGATCCACTCCCACTTCCACTTGACCCACTTCCGCTTCCGCTTGATCCACTCCCACCTCCGCTTGACCCACTTCCGCTTGATCCACTCCCACTTCCACTTGACCCACTCCCACTTCCGCTTGATCCACTTCCACTTGATCCACTCCCACTTCCGCTTGACCCACTGCCCACTTCCACTTGATCCACTCCCACTTCCGCTTGACCCACTGCCACTTCCGCTTGATCCACTCCCACTTCCGCTTGACCCACTTCCACTTGACCCACTTCCACTTGATCCACTCCCACTTCCGCTTGACCCACTGCCACTTGACCCACTTCCGCTTGACCCACTCCCACTTCCACTTGATCCACTCCCACTTCCACTTGATCCACTCCCACTTCCGCTTGACCCACTCCCACTTCCACTTGCACTAGTTATTGCTGACTCGTTTGATACGTCTCCACTACGTTCGTTAACGAAGACAGACGAAGAGAACCCAACCACACAAACAGCGTATGCCACTGTTAGGAAACAGAGCATTGAGACACAAACTATTCTCACTTTCCTTTTATTAGCACATTTGCAGCAGCATAGATACCACCCAAGGGCACAAACAGCCACCAAAAACTGGACCGCCAAGACTCCAACAAGAAAGGTATAGCTGTACCCACAGTCAGGGAATACATCACTGATGTCTTCTTCCTTAATGCGCCCAAAAATCTCCAGCACTGCAACAACTGATGCAGCAACAGTCAGCGCAAACCAAAGCGTCACTGTCACAACACCACTCCAGAATATACTGGTAGAAACAAACAGAAAAACTTGGTTAAAGAGTTAAAATTCTAGGAATGGGGTTTACCATTTTCTCCTATTTGTGGCAAGATTAGCCGTGAAAAAAGAGGGAGTCGAAGTGGAATTGTAATCTGAAGATTCGTCTTGTCCATCATCCATGTCCTTATCTTGGTCTTCTGCGGCCAGTGGCTGAAGTTCAATCAGCGGATGTCGTTCGCTACTGTCTTGTTCCTCTTCTTCCTCATCACGACCGCGTGACGGAGTCTGCAAGTCCCATTCGTGGTATTCCCGCTCTTGCGCATGCGCATCGGCTTCCGATAAGCTTGCTGCTGCGCCGCCGCCGCCGGCGGGCGGTAGATCGGAATGCCTGTGCGTATGATAGTCGCCCAATTCTCCATTCCATCTACAGTGTAAACACCTTATCTTGAGCTTGTTAATTTTTTGCCGCTGTGCCTTGTCCTCCGTCAAAACGGGCGATGGTGCCCCACAATTAGAGCACGCAGTCTCGGTCCCCCGTGCGCAGGCGTTGCAGTACGTCGCTCCACAACACTGGGCTTGGTGTGGATCACTGGGGACATGGTGGCATATCCCACACTCGTAGTCACCGGCGAGGGAAGGATCCAGAAACTCGTACTGTTGCCCGAGTTCTGCCATTATTATCGGGGCGTGTGCGTCCACTAGCGCGCGTGCCCTGCCCGCCCTTAGTGCAAAGTTAAGTGGGCGAGATAATTTAACGTGACGTCACATCCGGAGTCTCGTTCGGGCGTTCTACGGAACCGTCCGTTTATACGGCGGCGCAGCACGTAGCTTTTACGGTATGCTCTATTTTTAAGTTACTTTTGCGATACTACAGTAACCGTGGTATATACGTGTGAGAAAAGAACGGACGCTCTAGCTAGTTCCTGCGCGGAGATCTGGGCTGAGAAAGGATAGTTGTTAGTATCATGACTGGAAATCGATGTGTTCTGTGTGGCTCTACACGTGCAACAGACCCTGGAGAGCATACCATACAAGCTACGTGCTGCGCCGCTCTCGGTTCCATTTCCATTGCATGCTGGAGCCCGAACGAGACTCCGGATGTGACGTCACGTTCAATTTCATTCCTTGTGCCGCTCATGCAACTGGTCCATTGGTTATTATGCGCAAAAGACAATCAATACTAACTAATAAGTGTTACTCAGTTGAATGAAGTCTCATTTTCAAAAACGGTGACTGTGGGGTCATAAAACTCCCTCCGGTAGCAGAGACCGTTGTGGCTGCACTCATAGCGAAGCAAGCAAGAAATCGCAAAGATGAAAATCACCAGCAGGCCAAGAAACACCACCGCCAGTAAAAATTGTTCACTCATCAACTCGACACACTTTTCCTCCCTTCTTGGTTGAACCTCTGCCGATCGATTGCCACAAGCAGAGCCAAAATCCCCACTCCCAGAACCCATGTCACCCTCACAGTCTTCTCCTCCTCCCTCCCCTCCTCCACTCCTATCAATACCACCAACCATTCCACTCCCACTTCCATTCCCACTCACACCCATGTCAACCAGGCTGGAATTACTGGAGCCAACACCAACGCTTCTCGAATCGTTCACGAACACGAGAACCGATGCCGAGAAACCGGCGACTACGAAGACGTAGATGAAGATGAGTAGACACAGGGAAGAAAGGGTTGCTCGATTCATCCTTCTCCCCCTGCAGCTCTTGCGGGTGCCCTTGCAGATCCAGAAAATGAGGAAGGTTGCCATGACCAGGTGAACCACGATAACGGCCAAGAGAAGGGCGATGCTGTATCCCCCGCAGCTGGGAGCAATAGACGCATCTCCCCGATGCAACTTCTGCACGCCACTTAGCACAGAGACTATCACTACAGCTCCAACAAAGAGAATCCACAGCAGCCCTGCCAGGAAACCGATCACATAGCACCTGTGTAAAAGAGGGAGTCATAGCACCATAACAGCTATAGCTAGGGGGAATGTGTTTTAGGAGGAAAACCATGTGTGTGGGTGACAGCTGCATAAGGTTTATTTAGTCTACATGTTTGTCATACTGAAAGAATTTATTATGTGTGTCCTGGTGGACAATTTCACGTAAACAACTCAATGAATCAGCTATGGCCTTTTTACTGAGTAACAGACTCACGTTTTCTCTGATCTTGTCAGGTCAGCAAACTCCCTATCGTGTGAGCAATTGTAGCACCGCAGACACGGGTTTTCTCGCTCAAAATCGGAGCTGGTCAGCGAGCCTTGCTCTGCTGACATTTGTGTCAGTGCTCGCTGCTCTGTTTTGTCGGGCATTGGCTCAAGCATCTGCTGCTGGTTAGCCTCAGCGGTTGCCAGCTCGCGATAGTCGGATGGGGGCTCAGGCTGTGGACTGGGGTTGGTAGGCCTAGCTGCTTCCGGGCTTTCATTGTCGTAGATTTGCTCCCCCATATCTTGAGAGTCAGGACCAGGAGCTTCATATATTTCTCCCTCAGCTGGGGCCAGTTGCTGTGGGGGGCTGGTATCTTCATAGTCTTCTTCTACGTCTTCCAGTTGCTGTGGGGGACCAGTATCATCATACAGTTCCTCCGCCACATCTTCATCTTGCTGTGGGGAACTGGTATCTTCGTATATTTCCTCCACCACATCTTCACCTTGCTGTAGAGAACCCGTATCCTCATATATTTCCTCCCCAGGATCGTGCTGTGGAAGGAGTTGCATCTCCTCATAATCTTCTTGCTCTTGCTCGGGGACCGGGCATTCATTATCGTAGATCTCCTCATCGCCGTCATGAGGCTGCTTGAGGTGGGGTTCTGCGGCTGAATAGTTTCCCGTCCATCCACAACCGGCTTTCGGACACTCGACTTGAAGCCCTTTTATGCTCTGCTGGAGGCTGGTGTCTTGCACCAAGCGTAGGTTAGCTTTCTTGCACTTTGTGCAAGTGCTGGCTGCAGGGTTTCTGGTGACAAATGGGCCTGGAGCTCTCTGCTCCCCTGCTATTGCTGCACTCGATGTAACCAACTCTGCACACTGCTGGCAGTAGATAGCTCCACAGCACTGGGCTCTCAGGGCACTGCCTGGAACAGCCTGGCAAACATCACATCCATACTTTGAGGAGGTGTACTTGTCAACAAACTTGAAGGGCAGTCCCCCACTAGTGCCACTGCCTACCACAGCCATTGCGGATTCAGCCAGCTATAAGCCAGAGCCTAATACAACTGCGCTGTGCTTGCTGTTTGTATGCAGCCACTTCTCGGTATATAGGTCTGTGTGCTTATGCAGGTGTGGTATTTATTCAAAAGCAGGGCTAGTGGATGTAAGGAATGCAGTGACATGTCTACCCCACACATATAAAAATGTATGGAACATATGAGAGCATTCCATGGCCATAAGCTAGTCCCCACCCATGCATATTATATACACACTTTCAATACTCCTTATATAAACATTCAACATCCAAGAAATGTGCAGGTGATACAACCAGTTACTCAGGTTACCAGTTTCTTAATTACCACTTTCACTATGCCAATTAATGTTCACTGAACAATACATCTGTACTGCACCTTGAACTAAGCTGTAACAATGCAACTTCAGCTGTCACTAAATTGCATTCCTTATCGCTACATGGAGTAAAAACAAGATTGTGACAGACATAGCTGAGATGGCTCATTGCAAACTTGCACAGTCATGATATGTTTCATTTCTGCTGCCATATTGTGATGCGTAATTCAAAAGCAACTTCACTCTTTTGTCTTACTGGGTTGCCATTACGAAATGGACATTAAGGCGAAGGACTCAGCTTAGTGTCGCTGATTTGCAAGGAAGAGGTTGAGGTTATGCTGATGGAGCCACGTGTATAGAGACAAGTGTTTTTTCTGATAATGAAGATTAATTTCACAAGAAATAATTGCCAGATATTGTATAATACTCAGTCAATGTGCATAAAAAGTTGCAAAGTCATTATCATTGAGTTATGACTTGATGAGGGAGGAGACCCAACTGGAGAATCTCTGGCCCATGTTCAGCAGAGCCTTCCCAGCTGACAGGGTCTCCTTGACTGGAGCAGTGACTGCCACCTTCACCTCTTCTCCCAGCAGACGAGCCCTCAGCTGTGAGACAACATCTGCTTCTTCTCTCTGCTTCTTGCTCTTCTTGCCCCTAGATCGGCGCTTTCCCAGCTTTACTTCTTTGTCTGCCACAACATCTGTGGAATTATGTATGTTTTCAGTAGTGAAAAACAGGAAGTTTAAAGCTACTTGCAAATTATACGGGCTATTGTCAGCTAGAAATAAGTTTCCTACTGCTCACAGAGCTTCTTTTGAAGGTTTGAAGCTTTGCTGAGGCCTGATTTGGCGAGGATGTCGTCCGCAGTGAGTGGCTTGGTGTTCCTTTGGAAAAGGGGGTCAACCTTCCCACTGACAATCCTCAGCACTACAGCCTTGCACTGGTCCAGAAGATTGTCTCCAATGAGGCACTCATAGAACTCGAGGGTCATGTAGTCCAGAGTAAACGGATTGGTTGAGCTCATCATCAGCATTACATCGACGCCTTGCATGACTTGGGCAATCTCCTGCAATTGCCAAACCAATAAGACGGCTTTATACTTAATTATAGCATTTTGATTATTAGAGCATTTCACATGTATTAAGAACTTTGTAGAACATTACTGTACGGGCAGTGCAATATGTATGGGATAATCCTGCATTCCGCTCACTTCACTCACTTGCCAATAAACAGAAGTCCCATTATGGTACAGTGCCAACCCTATGGAAAGCCCCCTGCATGGCAACCACAAAGTACTTTCGCTTCGCTTGCCTCTCTGGTTACAGATGGAAAGAATCTTCCGCCTCCATATATCTCGTACTTGTTCACTGGAATAGCTCCCAGCTTTGCAACATCAATTCCTATAGAGATTAGATCAGAGCAAAATGCCAATAGTTACTAGAGTCTCCAGAGTAGCCAAAGCATGCAGAAGACTATAAGAAAGACTTATTCGATCCTTGCCCACCGTTGCTGTGGTCCGGGCTCTGGAGAATGCTGCAGATCTGCTCAGCTGCGAGGTCGTACACTTGAATCCCGTACGTAAAACTGCCCCAGAAGGTCTCGCCCGTCGATCGTGGGTTCCCTGCAATGGAGCCGCGTTTTATCGGTCACAAAATTTCATTGCTTTTTTGCACTTACCGAGAATCGCAACTTTGAATGACATTTTGATCAGTCTTTTTTGTGTTGTAACTTATCAAGGAGAAGACTAGACGACGGAGACGTGCGAAACTTGGGGGGGTTAGGCTATTATACCGTACGCGTTACTAAAAATAAAATCGTTACTAAAAATAAAATCTCTAAAAATAGTAGGCATTATGTAATGTAAATGGCCGCACACACGCGCATGCGCACTTCCGTTTTCCAAATTGCGCGTGCGCATTGCGGAGAGTATAAACAAGACGTGGCGTGAAAACCACCGCCGGACAGGGCGTGTGAAGAAATAATGGGGCCTTTGGTGTTGGCGTACGTCCTCTTTGCATTATTAGTCGGAGCAATTTCTGAAGACAGCACTGCAAGCGAAAGAAAAGCGTTACCATCGTCCGAATGGCAGCCACTCTCCGTTCTACTGGTTGCTCCGCCGTACTCCGGGCACGTCATCCCGTTCTTGGCCCTGGCAGAGGAGCTGGTGGGTCGTGGACACAACGTGACGCTTGTCTCCGGCCCCACGGACTTCGTCCTGAAGCAAACGAAAAGGATGAACGTAAACCTCTGGAGCATTAGTACCGATGGTTTCGTTGGTCCCACAGAATTGGTGGAAAGGGCGAGAAACGCTTCGGATAAAGGGCCCATAGAGAACATACAACTTCTTTTGGGTCTATCTGTCAAGTTTCAAGAGGCTGTGCTTAGAACAATTGATAATTCCGCAGTTGAATCTTTCGACATTATTGCAGGAGATGCACCCTTTTCTGCCTTCCTAATGTGTTTCTCGCGGAAATGGAATATTCCTGGTGTCAACATTTGGGTTTCATTAATGTTGTATCCTTTCGACATGTACGCATGGTCTTTCCCATCCCTTTCATCGGGCTACAGTGACGACCTTACCTTGTTTCAGCGATTAGTCTCGACCATTACTTGGGACTTTATACGCGTAATTTTCAAAAACACTGTACCTCGAATGCTGACCTTCGCAGAGGGACTCTGTAACCAGGTTAACCTTTCACTAGACGAATACCATACCTTCTTTCATTATTACCCGCAAATCGTAGCTTCGAGTATCGGTTTCGAGTTCCCCCGTGTTCTACTACCACTGACAGAGTATGTTGGTCCAATCATCTCCCAGTCTCCTACCCCACTCCCACAAGACCTGGCCCACTGGCTGGACCAGAGAGAGCCTGGCTCCGTGCTCTATGTCAGTATGGGCAGCACTGCCATACTAACAGGGGATGAGGCCCAGAGTATAGTCAGTGGAGCAGCCGAGGCCAACCTCAGTGTAGTGTGGAGTCTGAGAAAGAGCAACCAGGCTGTCCTGGAGAACCTGGTCTATGACTCTGAGAGAGTTCTAGTAGCTGACTGGGTGCCCCAACTGGCGCTACTCAGACACCCCAGCATTCACTCCGCACTCCTCCACGGAGGACTGGGTGGCGTACAGGAAGCCCTCAGCTGTGGAATTCCAATCATCGTCATCCCTTTCTTTGGGGACCAGCTGGACAATGCAGTTCGAGTCCAGGCCCACCATTATGGGACAATGATCCACAGACACCAGTTGACACCTGAACTAGTCTCCCAGAGTCTGAGGCTATTTGACTCTCAGCTCTACCGATCTTCTCTGCAGAGGATTCAGAGGATATACAGGAAAGACGGAGGAGCTTCCAGAGCGGCTGATCTCCTGGAGTTCTACAGTGAAGTTGGCTACCAGCACTTGGTTCCATCGTATGCCAAGTACAACTGGAGCTGGGTTCAGTTCTACAATGTCGATGTCTACACTCTACTAGCTCTGGCAGTACTGCTACCGTGCTTTCTGGTCTATAGACTCATTCGCTGCTGCTGTCACCAACTTTTTGGAAAGTCCAAGAAGAAAATAGAATAAAATTCAGGATACAAACTGAACATAGAACATAGAATAAGATATGTAATTTTTACTGCAGTGGTAGTTTGTCTCCATTGCAGTGAGAGTGACCATTATTAGCTAGATTAATGTAGTAAGGATTGCTGCTGTGTGTCTGTGGGCACCCCTCAGCCACTAGTGACTCGAACACGTGCACCAAGTGAGCAAAATCCGGCCGCTCGTCTGGGCTTGCTGACCAGCACAATTCCACCGTTTGGAAGCTAGTGTGGAGAGAGAGTCACAATTTCAAGTTCAGTATATTATACATGAAACCTCTGGGTATAGCTAAACAGGGAAATTGAAAATACAGATGTGTCCTTTACAGGAGAGTAATAACACCGGCTCAAAAGAAATGTATGTATATACTTTTTGTAGTATCCATTGATAATGTACATACATTTCTGGAGGGCAGAGTTTGGGTATCTTGAGCCTGTGTCTGCCTCCAATGTAGTCAGAGACCTCGTGATTGCCTACTCCAGGGTAGGGGGTGGAGCCAAGAGAGAACACCTCCCAACACACCACTCCAAATGACCACTGGTTGTATTATATAGGGAGAGAGAGAGAGGGAAATGTTAAGCTACAAGATGTTATTTTAAACCCCTCTCCTATCTGCAGCAGTATAACACGTGCGTATGTCGTATTTGGCCATATTATACTGCGAGTCTTGGCACATCTTTATCATAATTAGTCCTACTGCTGCTCATTAATAGTGCTACACTGCCCAAGTGTGGGCCTACCATACTACTTTACCAATTCATTTTTATGGGATATCTATAATATTGTCTCTGTCTTTAATACAATTATTATATAGCAGTACAGTTAAAGGATGTATGTGTCGTACCACGTCAGATTTCTCAGTAAAAATGTTGGTGTTGAGGCTCTCTGGGGCCATCCACTTGACAGGCAGGAGTCTCTTGGTCTTTGTTCTGTAGTAGCTTTTGCTGTAAATGTCTCGAGAGAGCCCGAAATCAGCAACTTTAACAGTCAGATCTTCAGTTAGCCTGCAAAGCGTGGTCGTAGCACATCCTTAAAGGAAATGTTGCAGTATAATAATTTAATCTTGCACTAGCCCCTGTTGAACAATTCTAAATTTAGCACTGATGTACTGCCCCACTCGCTTAAATAGGGAGCAGTCGAGGCCTCCATAATGTAGACATTCCGTTAGTCAATCTTACATGCAGTTCCTTGCAGCAAGGTCTCTGTGTACAAACTTGTTGGAAGCCAGGTACTCCATGCCACGAGCAACGTCCCCACACATATGCAGCATGACTGAGAGATCAATTCCCTATCAACGGCAAGTGGGGAAAACATAATTATAGCAACTGGAGTGAACAGCATCCCACCGCACATTAAGTGGTGTTCATACATACATGTAAAAAAGACACGAGGTCGCAAAGCAAAGCAGCACATTTTTCACTGCAATAGGGTTGCAAAATCGCACACAATTCAAATAAGTTGGCAGACTCGGTTTTACTCATAATCTTGCGAGACATTTGCCAATGATCTTTATAATAATTATAGTTCCACGAAAACCCTTTGTGTGTGAACAAAAAACACATAGTCACGTGGTCATATAATAATATACCTCGGGAAAGCCAGAGATGACT